ACAATTTACAGGATATCGCTGCTCTTGCATACATATAGTTAACCCTCCGGTTTATCACCCCGCCTTATGATCGATCCATGGCGAACACTTTCACCCTCGACGTCGTACTAACGATCTCTCGAGAATACCAGAAATCTGTTTATCCTGAAACTTTGTATAATCGAGGAGGGCAATTATTCTTGGTCTTCTTGATTAGAATATATTCACCGAACGAACCTCCGAATAGTAATTCGATTTGCTTTGTATATACAGAATGGACCACGATGGTCGATCGAATGATCTAACTCTGTAACGCATACCTCGATGCCGTGAAATTTCGCGGTTACACCTGAAAGGGTCACATTTCATTGTGGTCTTTCAGCTTTTGAATCTAAGAAACGTGAGTACGGTAATTTCGTGATCTTCCAAGAAGACGTTTTTCTTCGTTTCGAAATTCCTTGACTCTAACCTGGTGAATGCTAATGTATCATCCAAACCGTCCGAAGATCGTTTCTCGTCACGTCGACCACGGCCGATTTACATACGAACGCCTCAAGGGGACACTTGTCATCGTTCTTACGAAGTTTGGGGGCAACGAAACTTATATTTATAGATGTTGTAATACTAACAACCCAGAGAGTCGATTATGAAGAGCCCCGTTACGTAATGTTTGACAACTATCGTTAAGCAAACTCTTTAAACAGTTCCAAGTATTTGGTAAATGAACGTTGAACGTAGAATCTTCTAAAGAATTCCGACGAAGTGTCCAATATAATACTTTTAATTACGTTAACATAAATGTAACGGATCGAACTGCCCTTCGAAGTGTTCATACCTTCTACCGATCTCACCGAAACTATTCGAGATTCAAGGACTCCTTATGGATCATTTTTTCACGCTTGTTTTTACTCCGATTGGCTAATTTCAAGGTCTAATTACTTATCATCGGAGCCGGCCATAGTATCAAGGCCAAGTTCATCGGAAAGATCGATTCGCAATCGATTGGCTGTCAATTGTGAGTAACGAGCGACTACCTAGTTATATGCTCGCCTGTTACGCTCATTTCAGAAGCACGGAAGTTTGCCGGTTTCTTCGAGATAATAATACACTCCCCGGTTTCTGTGTACAGCACTCGTACTATCCACGGCTCAAGGATAATCAATTTGTTGCTTGCATTACGAAGAACGCCGCGTAAATATCATCGATCCGTTACATCCTCTCTTCAATTAAATCTCCTCAGAAGCCTACTCGACGTATCCTCGCGGTTACGTAAAATTATATATACGATTTGAGAACTTCACACTGTTCAGACTGTAGATAGATCAGTTTGCTGACCATTTCGGTTAACCTTCGTACAATGCAAGGACATTTTGATCCATCTGTAGCTATTGCTGTAGTCTTTGTAGTTGCATGTAAGTGTAATACATGAAGTTGAAAATATAGATAAAATTTTATGCACAATTTCTTCGTGATACTTTGCGTCCAAGAGAAATTTTACTACGGGTCATAATAATAACCTTGCAATTTATCCAATTATAAATCGAATGAAATAAAAATCACATTAACCAGATAAAGGACCATTTAAGAATCCCAAGTTCTAATTCCGGAAGATCGTAGGATTACACTTTATTCGAGAAAAGAAAGGAAATGCATCGAGAGCAAAGGATCGGAGATTAATTTTACCCTGAACAACCAGGCCACGCTATTAAGCCTCCTCAATGACGCTAGACTCGTTTATAATTGGTAAGCAATTAGCAATTATGTTTCACGGCCGACGGTAATAAAATGGATACGCAACGAACAAGGGACAAGACACACGGGGGTCCGATGAAAAATAACGCGTGAGAAGATCGCGCGCACGCATCGACGCCCGGGCAACAAGTTATCCGCGTGGCAAGAAATCTAATTATGATTGGCTCCCCGGTATGAAATATAATAATCCAAACCGACAGATACAGTAAACATAATTTCACGCTCGCACGGAGAAAGTAATTTGGCGCTCAATGAAAGATGAAATTTCAATTGCGGTTAATTAGAGAGGCGAGGCACCCGTGGAACGGGACGCTCCTTCCTGTTCGGGTGAATAGAAAAGTGATGGCCGTTGACGGATTCGAGTTATGATACACATGGGGATCGCTAATTACTAACCCCTCTGCGATATTACTTATCGCTGTACTCGCGAATCATCGCCATCGATGATAATATATTACCCGTGGAGACGAAAAGGGAAAAATAAGAACGATCGACGCGACTAGACCGACCGGCACCGGTGAATAAAAGAACCTGGTAACGACGCTTTGTTGCCTGTACGGCCACGATTCGCATTCAGACAAGACGGGAGTTACGACAACGCTCATCAGAATGGATCTCTAACGCCTCTGTGCTCGTTCATGGAGAAAGTGACGCGGGAAGTCATATTAATTCTGATGAAAAACTAATTTCCAACAACCGCGGTCACTTTGGTAATATTGTCTACCCTTTCAAATTGTACACTCGCGAGCAAACTCGACTTCCACTAGGAGAACAAGTGGCATAGGGGAAGAGCCTCCTACCACTTGGTATAGGGAGTTATTAGAATTTATGGCAAATTAACATTTAGTTTAACATTTATTTCAGTACTTGAAATAAATTTACCAAGTGACAGGAGGCCCTTCACCTACGCCACTTTTTCCCCTAGTGGAAGCCGAGTTTGCTCAAGGGATATCAATACTAGACAGAGAAAGAACTGATAATGGATGATTTCCAGCAAAAACAACATATATCCTCAAACTCGAAATTCACCTCGAAAAGTACCTGCGTAAAAGAGATCTTCTCCCATCGAAGATGAACCACCCTCTCATCCTGTGTCTTATTAGTTTGCATAGCATCAGCATTAGGGGAGGTATCGATTACCTCCAAGTAAATCGATCTCGTAATCACTTTGAGCGCTGGTCGTAACGAGGAAGGCGTTAAACGTGACCCCAACGATATCTAGGAAGTAGAACAATGAGATTGAAACGGCAATGGAAAATTTGTTCCATTGCGGTTTGCCGTTCACCGCTGCCCGGTGGAACCGACTAAGGTGTAGCCAATGAACGAAAGCGTGACAATATGCGGATAGCTTGGGGAAGGACAGTGGTGCATTTCCAATCGATTCCCACAATGGCAAACGGCGTGTAACGCGTTAATGGGAATACTGCTATCTCCAACGAGACCCATCGTGTAAATACCTTTTGTGCGCCGTTTGCAAAATCACAGAACACGATGAAAAGAATTTCTTTTAAAACTATACCTACTGCCCTTTCATTGGAAAATAAAAATAATAAAGTAATAAATGGTACAGTTAATATTCCATAATGTCCTACTACGATTATACGGTGTTTGTTTATGCAAATTTACATCGAAGAGAATGTTTATGCGAAAAACAACTTTTTCTTCGTTAATCTGATAATATCAGTTTTTAGCCATCTCTTGGCCAGTCGTGACATCTGCTCGCGAACGAGTCAACCTTTTTTACCGATAAAGCTGTGATCCCTGCCAACAGTCACGTGACTCTACGTTCGAAGAAAGTCAATCACACGAATAAAAACGTTGTGTACGATTAAATAATGAGGATATCGAGAAAATGCGAACCAACCATCAGCGAAATATTCCTGGCCTTTAGATTACCCTTAACAAGGTTCGACGGGTTTCTGACCAGAAGATACGTCGAATATAGTTGCGCGGAATGTTAACGCGCACCTATTACATCAGAGGAAGATTCTCGTTAGAAACAGTTACTGGCCGGTGTATGTATACACGGACATACTTTACAACCAAATATCGTAAGACTTTATAGATCCTGAAAATAATGGGATCGTCGTAGAAAATGTCTGGGGCATCTTTGACTCGTTCTCGCAGTTAGCGCAACAATAATTGCTCGGTAATTGGCTCGAAGAATCTTGTATCACTTAATGGGGAAAGAAACGGACGAAGAAAGCGACGCGGTTGTTCGAGACCGGTAAGTACGTATTCATTAAGTGGAATTGCTAATAAAATCGCGATCCCTTTTCGCGTTTTCGAAACATTTTAATTCGAGACTCGTTCAGCTTATTACGACTCATTTGCTTTTTCTTCGACGAAGCTGGACTGCCATCTTGGAAAAGGGAATGTAAGCATATTCGCGGGAAAATGATATCTTGGCCGCGAGAGGTTGGTTGTATATCAAACATTTGGACTATGAACAATTATTGTGATTGCAGGTGACTATAATCACCTGTTATTACTATAGTAATAATTCTGTTATAGTTATTAATTAATGCGATGCAATATCAACAATCCTGATAAACTTCCAGAGAATTCGCACCGCAGGACTCACAAAGTACTAGATCGTTTCTACATTGATTCTACATTGTTGAATGTTAGAAGAAAATAATTCACTCACCAACAGCCTGTTGAGAATACCAGAATCTAGTGCCAGACATCATTTCTGTGTACCTGTTATTTCCTCAAATTAAATTATTCACGATTCACGCACATTCACAAAAAGCACAACTGATCACCTCCACTACCCGCCTCGGACTTCGAGAAATGTAACGGTTTCTCGATCCTATATCGATTGTTCGATTTCTCGTTTACTAACATCACAATCGAAATGGTTCATTTGTACCTTTAAACGATGAAATATTTTCAGTCTTTTGAAAACGTAAGTATTCAAAGAAATAGGAACGTTCTGTTACAAATATTTGAATTAATAATATTTCAAAAATTAATTATAGTAACTAATTATATAATGCTGCATTTGCCTACAATAATGTAGTACCACCGTAGTACTTACATGTTATACTAATTGTACATTATGTAATGCTACATATTATAACAATTGTATATTATCAAATAAAGATTACAAGTAATGTGGTAAATTATACGTAATTCTAATGGTTGAAATGGTTGAAATCTATCAAACGATTCAATCCAGACTTAATTCTATAAGTCCCGCCAAATGATGTTTTACCATTTCATGTTGGCGACACTGAATATTCGAATACACAAAGTGACGTTGGTCATCTTTCCGGTTTGGATCGCTCTTTCAGTACGGCAAGATGGCTGATCAGGTACGTGTTCCTTGTTAACATCATTTCGTACAGTTTTTCCCGTTTAACTTTCTTGTTCACTAAATATTCTTGTCAACGCGATCATTAATCACGTGACAGTTAACAATGGGGAAAAAGATTCCGTTACTTCAGAATGTTATGAAAAGGTTATGACTCTTTGTGTAAACGTTGCACGTGGTTAGATTGTTCGTATAGTCTATAGTTATATTTAAAATTAGTCAGCCAGTTAATATCACCGAGAAAACAATGAAAATTATACAAATATACTTGTATGGTTACAGACCGAGCGTGCTTTTCAAAAGCAGCCCACGATCTTTCTTAACCGCAAGAAAGGTCTGGGCCCCAAGAGAAGGAAGCCCATGAGATATAGCCGCAATGTCGGCCTTGGCTTCAAAACACCTCGCGAAGTACGTATCCTTTCATTCGTTCGGAAAACAACTGATTTGAGAAATCAAGAACGTAATGTTTGTTTTTAACGGAAAATTTTCAGGCTCTTGAGGGAACTTACATTGACAAAAAATGCCCATTCACTGGTAACATTTCGATCAGAGGACGCATTCTCACTGGTGTTGTACAGAAGATGAAAATGCAGAGGACCATTGTCATACGTAGGGATTACCTACATTATATCAGAAAATACAATCGCTTTGAGAAACGTCATCGTAACATGAGTGTACATCTCAGCCCTTGCTTCAGGTGAGTGCTACATGTACTTGTTATTTATTGGAATGTATATGTGATTTTGATGATGATATTGACGACGGTCTTCTGAAGAACAAACTGAAGAAACTTATTCGTCTACTGAACAAATATTTTTTTAAACGCTTATTATCTAGCCAGAAAGATCCTTGATTCTTATTGTTATTATTGTTTTTCATTACAGAGATGTAGAAATTGGTGATGTAGTCACAATTGGAGAATGCAGGCCCCTTAGTAAAACAGTCAGATTTAATGTTTTGAAGGTATCCAAGGGAACTGGATCAAAGAAAAGTTTTAAGAAGTTCTAAGATTGTAGGAAATACAATCTGTGGTGAGTAATATAATAGAAACTTTAGAACTAACATTCTGTATTAACAAATTAGAAGTATCAAATGATGAAATTATCGACGGTCTTCTGAATTGATTAGACTGAAAGATTATTTCGATTCCTGAATATAATTAATAACAAGTCATTTTTTTCATGTTTGTAATTAAATTATTACAATTTCTTATTTGCATTTTGTCTACTACAGGAAAACATGGTATGCTTGCAAATTGGCTGAGAAGACAGAAAACATCAGGTTGCAGAAGTTACAAGACATGAATTACCATCTTGTCTTGTAAGTTATGGCATTTAAAAATAAATAAAGGAATAAAAAAACATTTCTACACAAAACGTTTCAGATTCAATTGCAAACAATCCATATTATTACCCTGTGCCATAATTAAGACATAAATAATGGGATTCGGGAAGTATAACAAATTAATGTTAAAAAATATATTCTTTTATAGATTTCAACAAGAAAATATTATCAAAAGCACATATTATGTAACATCAAGAACCACTCAATAAAATGCGTATTGTCACAAGTACATAAAAATATTACCACCAAGGAAGATACTTAGCTAATTTCTATACTTAATTTGCACATTATCAAAATAACAATATCGTGGACAAAAGGCGTGCAAATTTGTCGCAAGTGTCGTATAATATCAATATCTTAATTCTTAAAATTGACAATACAGGAAAAAGTGAATAAAAATTGCTTAGTATCACATACATACGTGAATTCTTATTTTTATATTTAAAAAAGAATATGTATATCTTCTGACTTTTCTGTACAAAATTGTCACAGGTAGCTCAACTGTCAATGGGCACATCTTTGGCAATCTCTGCATTGAGTGTATAATATTCTCATAATATTCAGTTTAATAATGTGTATTCACACATGAAATAGCATTCAGAACTTTACTATATAATATTAAATTATCAGATACTTACAAAGGCACTTTAATGTATATTTCATAACATAATTATCGTATTCTGTGAAAAATTTATTATATTTATATACTACTAATATAAGAAAATAATTTTTAGAGACTTTTTCTAAATATCTACAGTCTACAGTATTCCAATACCAATAATAAAATGGCATTTGGATGGAGATTCTAAATTTAGATATTACTGTAATCTCACTCGTTTTAGAAAGCATAAGTATCTCTTCGTTAACGTATTACTAGTGATTAGCAGTTGAATGATTCTTAGAAGAGAATTCTACTATATAAAGTATGTACAGAATGGGCCCTGCAAAACCTAATAATAAGGAAAATCCGAGGAGCTCTCTCCAGGATAGTCCACAATCATCGCCAGAACACTTAAATATATCTGTCAAATGAGTGTTACTGGAATTACAATCTATTGAAGTAAGCAGTGGGTCAGAGTCTATATTAGCAATTTCTAAAGAATTACTACTATTATATAATGATAAAGGTTCACATACTGAATTCAATATAATTGCATTAATCTCTGTTTTTGGCGGTTCAGTTACAATTGGATTTTTTGTTACATCCAACAATGCATTTTTTGTGGATGTACTTGTTGCCTCTTCATCAGGAGCAGATATACTTACTTCACTTCGACCTGCTGGCTCAATTTGACTCTCCCCCAAAGTTTCAGTCAACAGTGAAAATGGTTGAATGGGTACTTTTATGAACCTTCTTGCGTGTATCTCGTTCTCTTTATGAATCTTATTGATCCTCTTCAACTCAGATATCTAAAAGTATAGTTCCCTCACTATGTTTATTAGATATTTAGTCTTCACATTCCTATTTTATAATTACTGTGCATCTGTATCTCAGTGCCAAAGCCTGCAAAGTGTCCTCTGTCTTCAGTGGAACATTGATTACTTCCACCTTACGTGGCACTGATTCAGTCTTGTTTCGTGGTTGTAGAGGGATGTTATCATCATCTTCACTGTTATCATCATCGGAGTATAAAAACACGTAATGTGGGGAACCTTCCCTCTGGTTTCCGCGTTGATACACCATTTGTCTGGAAAAAATTACACACTGTAGATCTCAACCGAAAGGTAAAACACAAATATAACAGAAGTAATTAAATATAAAAAAAAAACAACACCATCAACAATAAACGTAAAATAAGAAATTGACGAAAATTATATCGGTTTCTTCTATATAAACGATCCAATGCGGAACATTAAATAGGCGATCTGTCAAACGTCATCAGAATAAAAACCAAAGCTGTCAATTACCTTTCGTACTTTCTCGACGTTCAGGAGCTTCCTTTGTTAATTTTTATCGCTGATCATACACATATTCCATTTTAAAATGAACTAGCTGTCTAAGTAGATCTTAACCCGATCGAGTACCCGACACAACTGTGTATCGCTGACCATATGTATTGTAGGTATCAGAGATTACATACTTAATCACGAACGTCACGAAGGAAGGTTAAGTTTCATTCTGCGAATCAAACGAAACAGAACTCTCGTCTGCGCTGTAAGAGACTTGCGACACATTTAATTTTTGAAAAAATTAACTACTATTCAAGATGATGCGATATTCGGAAGAAGGTGAAACGCTGAAGGATAACACAAAATGCGCTACCATACGTGCGAACTTAAAAATGTGTCTGTTACAAAGTGATTGTTGCAAAATTGTGAGTGATCAAGCTATACACTGGTCCTTGTCCTAACCCTCACTGACTGTGTTACAGAGTTTATAAATCTGTACCGTATGAAATATACAATTCCTTATCGACATATACCAGCAGATATACTCTGAATGAGTTGCATTGAAACGAAGTATATAAATGAAAACATTGTTGCTTCGTTGCAGTACAAAAGAACGCCCAGAGAATGCCTTCGATCAAAAGACAAAAATGTGCCCGACGAGTGTTATGCCCTGCATAAAACGTTTTTTGATTGCAAACATTCAATTGTAAATATTATTAAATCGTAATTACACCGCGGACATTTATGCATTTGCAAATATACAAAATCATTAATAATATGCATTTGTATGCATGTGTTTCAGATTGATGGAAGAAGAAGATTCAGAGGACCTAAGGGTGGTTACTAGTAATACAATATTGTAAAACTATTTATATGTTTCTTTCTTAAACAATTCTAATCTTATTTTGTCCATTGTAGAATGATAACCTTGCTTGCTCTGTAAATAAAATTGATATAAATGGCACTTTGAAACTTTTTTAAGTGTTACAGTGATATTTCATTGGCCTCCGATTAGCGCACTGCGCCGAACGCGCATAGCATCATGCTATTAGCATGTGTTGTAGTCGCAAGGGAGCAATTGAATCGAATAGACGTATTGTATCGAGGTGCATCGTATTGTATTTTAAACTTTTATATCATTATAATTTATATGTATATTCCAATAAACATACGTCAGGTAATATAAGCTTCATTTCATCGAATTGTCTTAAATATAACTGCATAAATATTGTACAATCCTATACTAATTATAGTTGTCTGGTTCAAAATGTTACTACAGAAACTAACTTTTGCCTACGTCTTTTAAACTTGGGCTGTAGTAAGTATTTGCAGAAACTGTCATGGTTGCTGGGGTTACTATATAATTTGAACGGGAAGCACGCAAAGTGTCAGTCAGATTTCGCAGTTGCACGAGCAACATTAGACCGAGCTCGAGACTCGTACGAACACAACGATAAACGACACGTTTCAAAACTCTTATGCTTGCTCCGGGGGTACTATGACCTCACTTCCTCAAACACACGGGGTCTCTGACGCCTCCTCCGGGGGCTCCCTGACCCCATGGTCTCACCACACGGTGTCTCTGGCGCCACCTGTGGGGGTTCTGTGTCCCCACGTTCTCGTCACAAGGGTCCCTGGCGCCACCTGTGGGGGTTCTGTAACCCCACATTCTCACCACACGGGGTCACTGGCGCCACCTGTGGGGTTCCGTGACCCCACGCTCTCGTCAACGGGGGTTTGTGGCGCCACCTGTGGGGTTCCGTGACCCCACGCTCTCGTCAACGGGGGGTCTGTGGCGCCACCTGTGGGGTTCTGTGGCCCACATTCTTTTCAACAAGATCTCTGGAGCTCCATCTGGGGTTCTATGACCCTATTCTACAACAACACGGGGTCTCTCACGGATATAATGCCAATTCATGTAATTTTTAGAATATTGATATTAATTTATGAACCGAGATTATGGCTTCATAAGTTTTGAGGTTGTTGATACAAGAATAAATTGAAATGTCATATTTATTAAGAAAATTAATTACGTGCTTATTATTGTACGTATTTATACTTAAATATAGTAAATAAATTAATATAGTAAGTTTTTTATTGAAAACATCGTAAGAAAATATGCAATTTACAATGGTATTTATATAAATTTAAAATTAAAAATTTTTTTAGTTGGATATCTATGAGATATGTTTCCATTGCAAGAAATTAATTGAGTTTCCAGTATGTACGATGTGGAATATTTGAATGTAGCGCTAAAAGAGCTTCGGATGTGGCCTGGTCGCTTTATATTGGTAATAGTGAGAACTCTTCGGGGCGAAGTTTCCGTCTTTTATCGGGGTTTTACGCAATAGGCGACAGTCGTTCTCTTGTGGTTAAATTCACCGAGTTATCAGTGAAATATACCGTAAAATGTTGCGTTTCATGGGAGGACGTATGCATTCCATCGTGAGGAATTCGATAGTGCCGCGAAGCACAACTGTCCTAGTTCAGAATGTCCGTGCTTCGCACGGCGAGAACGAAGAGCCCGAGGAGGAGTTCAATAACAGATACGTAACGTATTTGAGTCGCTCGGACCTCGATCACTGGGACGTTCGTCAAGTTATGAATAGATTGGCCGGTCAGTAATTATGTTTTCATCTCTGACATACTTTCCTTCAAACTCAATACTTTAGACTACTCATATTGTGTTTGAGTCAGTATGACCTAAAAGGATATTTAATTAGATTCCTCTTTATGTGTCAATGTAGTCAAAGGTTAATACTTTTTATAGTTTGTTCTTAATTCTTGAACAGTATCACGGAAAGGACATGAATGTATCATGATGCTACCACATATGGTTTACTATAGATCTTATATATCTATGCACATATTTATATTTGTTTGTAACATTCCGTAAGGTTAGTTGTTCAGCTGTATTAATACGTAATTATAATTGTTTGTACTTTCAGGTGTGGATTGTGTACCTGATCCATCAATCGTTTGTGCAGCATTAAGGGCCTGCAGAAAACTAAATGATTATGCTCTTGCTGTCAGATTTTTAGAAGTTGTAAAAGACAAATGTGGACCTAAAGTTAAAGAAATATATCCCTATATTTTGCAAGAAATCAAACCTACCTTAGATGAATTAGGTGTCAATACACCAGAAGAGCTTGGTTATGATAAGCCTGAATTAGCACTCCAATCGGTGTATGATATGTAATAATTAGATTATAGACTTAAAATATAAATCTAGTATTTGTGTATAGAAATGCCTTTCACTGGATTATGACAAACAAAAGATGGAGTAATCTTTGACACAGAAAGAGAAAGGGTACTTCTGTACATACCTGTTACCAAATTTTGATTTCAATAAATCGATCATCCTATTGAATAATGCCTTTTCCATCCACAAAACACACTGGTAATTATGCTGCACGCAAAACTTATGAAAGACATTTTAGAATTAACAAAACGAAATGATATGTATGTATTATATTTTAATTGCAACTTCCATTGGTTCTTTGCATTGCTTCTAAACTCTTAATATTTTTCAATTTACCAGTTTTTGTCCTTTTTACATCAAAAGTAACCAAAGCGGAAAGGTGACACAACGACGACGTATGTACAAATTACATTTTGTAAGATACACAGCGATAATGTCATGTACACGTACATCTATAATTATCTAAAATGGTATTACATTTTATCCTTTTCTTTGTCAAACGACATTTAACTTAATTTACGTTCTGTGTGCTTTGTTACAAACGAGAACAAAAAAAATATTTGTATATAACATGATCATACACGGGAGTATTAATATATTACATTCTTTTTTTCATATGCAATGGGCATGGTTTTAAAAAACAATATAACAATTAATATCTAGACTTTGTGATCGGTTTTTACTGATTATTAGTAAATTCAACTACTTTCTTCTATAATGTTATAAAAACCTTTTTTTTTATTTTTGGTATCGTTCGTACTTGGTGTCGAGGGCAGTTTGTTGTTTCAATGTTACGACTCTGCTCTTGACATACGCCTCTTCTGTAGAGGAGAGCATAATTACACACCTACAGGAACTTCATTCATGATAAAGACACGCGTACGAAAGAACATTTAATTAAATAAGTATATCACAAACTCATTCTTAGAATCGTTTGAAAACTGTGTATATGCCACGTTTATAATTGTACATATAATACACACAAGTTAGTATGTAGAGATACTAAAAGGTATAAAAAAGTGTAAGTTAAGATCGTCAGGTGAAATGAAAAAATTCATTCTGAGAATGTCAATCACACATCCCTAGCGAAACCGGAAAACCGCAACATTGAAACAAGATTGCACAGAAAAAAAAAAATACAACACTTCTCCTAATTTTAGGTACAGTATAAAAGTGTGAGTTGGCATTTAAATGCATGAAAACGTTTTTTTCGTCGATCTTCCTTTTTTCTTCGTTGATAACAAAAATAAATACATTTTTTTCGTTTCTCTATCTGCAAATCAAATATAAAGAACAATATATGATCCTTTGCTTCTAATATGCTCTGCGCATTGACAACAATTGAAAAGAGAAGGGACAGACTTAGTCTCCGTTTGTGAGAATAATATAGTGTTCCTTATAGTATCGATGGAAGGAAACAATTGTCTAATAAAACGTATGCATTAATAAATGTGATAAAATTAATCACGTATCACGGGTGTGCATCGAGACTTCAAATCCGTACGTCTTATTTTCCAAAAAAAAAAAAAAAAAAAATAATCAAAAAATTATACCTTACAGCCTATTTGTACCCGTCAGAAATGCTTAAACTTTTTTTTTCTCAGTTACCACTACTATTAGTGTATATTAGTACGTACTGTTACATGTCTCTACCATCTGAAAATGATTTCTTTTTTCTTTTCATACCTCAATTTATCATAAAAATAGGCTACATGTTTTTCCTTCGAGTCTAACTTGATAGCCAAATGTTCTTTTTTTTTATCAACCGAAACATCTTTAGATCGTGAAACCTGATATCCGCGGAATTCGATTACTCGTTATTTAAACGGAATTTCTTTATGTAAATGACGCGTCTTTCATAAATATATCTGAGATCCTACGTAAAACAAGGTGCATCTCGGTCACGGTAGTATTCGCGATGAATAGTACAACAATATCGGTTTAAAAGTATCCGTTGAATAAAATTCGATTCGGCACTATCGATTCGATATAGTTAAATATAATTTGTATCCGTTCCTCTACCGCTCTCTTTCGTAAAATAATTTAACGTAAATCTTAAATTTCTTTGGTATTATTGATTCCGTTCTCGAGGAAATGACACACCTAAGGACTAGACGAACGTTGTCGCGCGCGCGGCGATATCTGTGGATCGCCGGACCGGAAAATTTGTGGGTTTCCCGCAGACACTCACGGATACCGGGTGTCCAGAATGAAAACCGACGAAGTCATTGAAAAGGATTCAATGATCTTCGCATTCGTCGAGCGTGATTAGCAAGTTTTCCTAAAAATTAGTACTATCTTCGAGAAAATCGAATTACAAGTGAATAACCCTAAGTGTCTACAATGAATCTTGAATACAAACATGATTACATCCAAGTTCGACAATGAGAATCATCGCGGAACAATTCCAATCATCCCTCTCGCTCCTCGGACACATAATTCTCACGCTGCTTCCGTTTCACTGTTCGCTCAACCAAAGAGGACACACTATACAATGATTCAGAAAAGACACAATCATTTTCCTTAATATTAATAACACGTATTGTATCTAATACTCTCACTCTTTCTCCTTGTTTTCTGTTTTGTTTCTTTTTCTTTGTTTATAAACACCACTAATGTGCACCCGTTGCATTCTGGTGTTGCATAAAAGTTTCTGTATCTCTTTATCTCTGTTTCTTTTCTGTTTTTCCTTATTTCTTTATTAACTATGTAAAACGCTTTATTCTGGACTAGAGACGGTTTGTTGTTGTTGACTGTCCTCGTCCTTCACTACTTCAGCCTGCATGGCTTTGGTGAGAACGTTGGCGTCCTTCAGCGATATCACTTGAAGAACTTGATGTTCACCGGCTGCGTTTATCATTGTCATTGGATGACCCTGAATAGTGACGGCCTCGATGCTAGTTTCCCCGTTTCCCGGCTCGACTTTCGGGACTTGAACCATCGGCGTGACTACCTGCATCGTACCGTCACTTTGTATATTGGCAACCATTGTCTGATACATACTAGCGGATACCGGTACTGTTATCACGCCTGACACCGAGACAGGATAGCCTGAAACAGAGAAGCAACTGTCCTGTGTTCTGCCCTTGACCAGGCATATCGTTCTGTATGGCAAACTGGGAATTCGAGTGAAGAAACTGCGGCAATACGATAAAGTTTTTGTTTGTTTTAGTAGTTGGTGTTACAAATATTTATTAAAGAATGTTATTCTATATGTCCTGTTGTTTTCATCCCAGCTTGTGCTACCAATGCTACCAGTTTACGATACAGCTATATATGTATACTATACGAATTCTCTAAAACTTAAATATATATATATATATATATATGTCAGACGAGACATTAAATATACAATCCGTTAAAAATAAATAAAAATCTATATTAACAGGGTGTGCTGAAAGTTTATATATTAGGTACATATCGATATAAGTCAATGATTAAATTTAAAAAAAAAAAATAGGACATTCTGCTTGCATGTTCACGGGCTGTTGTTTTTTCTAGCACACCCTTTTAACGTGATGTCATTAATGCGAAAAAACAATAATCCACATCTACGCTCGAGAAAAAATAAGGCATTAATAAAGAAGCAACAAATGTTTAAGCCATTTTGTTAAACACAAACCGATGAGAGTGAAACGTCGTACGAATAATGAATTCCGATACTTGATCATGTTCTTAAATTGAAGTCAAAGATGCCAATCGCGCGGGTAGCTTAAACAAAAGCTGCTGAATACAACTATAAAATAATAAAACATCAACAAAAAATACTCTATGTACAGCAGTTTTATTTCTCTTTGTTTTTAATTAAAGTAAATAACCAATCTTCGGTAATAATGGTAGGTTGTGTTTGCAGTACGGGGGGACAGGTTGCTCCGTGATCGCGGCGTGGTACCATCGTTTTATTTCTCGTTAAATTAAAAAGTCTTAAGAATCCATGTGAACTGACCGAATTGACCGTTACGTTCACAACTTCTTGTACATTCCAGAATGTTACGACATCTATCGGATTTCTTGCTCTCAGAGGAGTACAAACTATACACATGCAACACTTCGAATATACAAATGTATCGTGTTTGGAGTAGATTCCATTTCAATGTTTTAAAATAGTATGTACATGCATATACATATTCAATTTACCTCCATTACTTCATGATTAACCTTCCTCCATTAAAGATATAAAAAAAAAACAGAGAGAGAGAGAAACTAGTAGGATGTTCTCGGAAAGAGAATAGTCTGACGTACACAAAACACATACGAAACGGCACAATATCGAGAGCAATCTATTGTTCGTAGGACTTTTCCCCCTTTTTTATGCGACGTTTGAACGTGTCTTGTAAAAACAAAAAAATCGATCGTATGCTTCATACATCTTCGAACGCTCCCCTGTTGACAGCGCTTAATCGCGGGTACCATGGATTCTTAAAAATGAAATTAAAATAAAGCTGTGCACGGCTCCTCGAGTGTGAAATTGTCGTATTATGTACAGTACCAAAAAAAAAAAAATCGATTAATCTAATTCGACATTCTACTCTCGTTGCACAAAGTAGTAGAACAGTAGGTAGAGTCTCTTGAATGGAGCGTAGCAGACAGCATGCAAAACAACAAAGGATCCTGGGCCAGTAAAAATGAATTCACTGCTCAAGTAGCTCCTGGCCGGCGACGGTGCAGAGCCTATAGAAAACTGTTTTACCGTGTCCGTCTTCTCCTGTGAGAATGATCTGGCCATCTTGGCCTAGTGTCGCTTCTGTGACACTGTTTAGGTCGACAGCGACGCTAGTACCCTCTGCACTACCTGCTACTTCGGCGAGAGCTTGAACTTCTCCTTGACTTGTATGAATCTGCGGATGAAAACATCTAGGTTTTAACTTCAGCCCGTTTAACGTTCCATTAGAGAGCCTTAAAAGAGTTATACTTGAGAACAGAAACTTAGGCGTCTTAAGTTTCCGTATTTCGACTTATCAGTCTTTATAAGACTACTATAGATTACATTTTTTTGTACGCGTATAATTAGATTTATTGTTGTGCCCGAGACACCTAATTTTTTATTTCTCGTTATAATCTGAAAACTTACGGTAGCAACGCCTTGCACTTGAGCCGTTGTACCGTCCGGTAACGTTATTATTGGGTTGTTGGGATCCACTTGGATGATTGAAACAGTACCGTCCGGATTCGTTATCGTTTGCAGAACTGCCGTTGGATACTGAGTCGTCATCTACAGTGAAAAAGAGTATTATTACACACAATACTCAGTTCATCTCATCTTCTTTGAAAAGTAAAATGTATTAAAAAAAAAATGAAGGGAAAAAAGTTAGAAGAATTTTATACGATATATACGTAAATGAAAAATGTGTATCCTCCCGTTCGGTGAATCGTATGAGGAAATTGCGTGTAATGTGTCATAATAATCGAAATAAAAGACAGATCAAACTCAAATAAGGGAAACCAAACACATGTACATAAATACGAGTTATGTTCGAAAGAACACGTTCCAATTGCTAATCTTTCTCTACACACGAATTTAAAGAAACACTATGACTTAATAGCTTCCGGTCAAGGATGTAGATTTTTAGAATAATCGAAGAACGACGCGTATGGACTATTCTGACTGCACGGCGTTTGGTCATGGTGCTTCGTTCAATTCTGTTTCTTTTTGATACAACACTCTACCCACTCCCACCTGAGTGGCAGTGGCAAGAGTTGTAGGAGACGCGGCAATGATTTGTGCTGGCGAAGAGTTTCCCTTAGATGAATCCGTGCTGCTGAGGCGAACAACTCCCACCGTCTGTTGCTGCTGCGACTGTCCACCTTGGCCTTGCGTCGATGAATGTGACTGATGCGACGAGGAATGAGGAGTTGATTGTTGTATTAATACGTTTGACTTGTCGTCCTCTTCGCTGAACGCCGGTAGAAGATCTTCTCTTCCGTGAAATTTATAACAATTTATTACAATTTGCCTTAACGCGTGCGTCCAAGAAATCTGGAAAGTGCAACGAACAGAATGTTAAACGTGATAGAAGCATTCTTAGGACAGCAATAGATAAATAAAGAACCATTTACAAACCTTTTGTTTCTCATCCTCGGACCTCGCATCCATTCGGACATTTGCCCAAGGTAATTCTTTCGGCCACCAGGGCGGTCGTGTACTATCCCTGCCCCAACCAGGTTTACCCCTGCCCGTGGAATACTTCAGCATCAACGGTATAAACGCCCTGAGCTGAGCTTGTGTCATTTTCTCGACAGGAGTGGGTATGCCATCTATTATAAGAGGTGGTAATTCGTATAAGGATGGGTCATCTTGTACTGGAGGTGGAGCTTGTTGTGCGAGCGCACTCTCAAGTTCTTCCATGATAACATTCCTTAAATTTTTTACTACATCTTCTAACGGCTTCGCCCCAAATACTTTATAACTACTGTTTGGCTTTCCTGGTGTAGCTACTAATACTACTGCCTGCTGTCCAACTCGCGTCGCGAACTCATCAATGGTTTGCTGAAACATGTATGCATAAAATATGAATATTGTATAGAATAAATGGTGATGGACCTTAAATGCAAAAAATTCAGCAATTCATTGACGAACTGTTAACAATCAGGCGATAACGTATACTTACTCTGAGTTTTCTAAGGAGTCTGTTTTGTTGCCTCTTCCTAATGCTGGGATTTGTTTCAAAACTATGAGGTCGTTTTCTCTTTTTCGCCGAGACAATGGCGGCGGCTGCGGCTACGCCGACAGGGCCTAAATGTGCGTATTATTAACTATATGTTTTCCAATTTCATCGTCCCACACCAAATCAGATACCAATAGAATGTTGCAATTACAATAATAAAATAATCGGGGCTTGGAGATTTGAAATTTCTTTTCACACGAATATGTGCACACATTCTTTTGACATCAGAACACATATATAGTACATTCAAAAACATTAGAGATGCGAAAGCAATAGTGATATGAAACGTGCTTGATATCCAAGAGTATATATATATATATATATATACGCATTCATATAATAAATATAGTTTACAATAAATTGCAAATGCAGCTTATTGTTATTTTATAAACTAATAAAACATATACTCTTGGACATTTTTTTGAACAAGGTGAAAATGAATATCTACAGACTATAACACTTTTCTATAACATTTAGATACTGGACAGAACAAAAACATATTTGATAGATGAAAATTAATATTAAGGTGATGAATTTGATCTACCATGAGGAAGCTATAATGAATTTTAAAAAACACACAAGAGGAAATGATATTGAATATCATAATGCAAATGAAAATCACATACAAATATTGCAAATACAAAAACAGTGTTTCCATGTGAATGAAATAATAAAAACATAAGCAAATAATATAGCACACAAACAATGTAAAATGCATTCAATGGTAGTATCTTTGCAGTATGCTTCTATTCTGAATTATTACATCAAAGAATAAACTTAAAATGATGAAGAAGAAAAAACAACAATAAATTCATGCTGCACTGTCAATGACATTAATATAAAAGAAAAAAGTAATAAATGCCTGTATAATTATAAATAAAAATAATATGGAATAAAATAAAAATGGTAATAATGCTAATGTTCAAAGTGAATTTCTCCTCTTGTTTACTTTTCCAGATCAACCATAATTACCAGATTAGATGTATCATTGGCAGGCAGTATCCACTTCTGTATATTTCCATTGACCACAAATCAATAACTTCAATTCTATATATATACACATTGTCTCACTGACAATTCGAATAAGCAAACTTTACGATATTTTATGAAACTATCTTATTGTTTTTTTGATGTCGAAAGCAGGTGCAACTACATTGTAAAGAACAGCTCTAATAAAGAACAACTTTATAATTATTTTAGCCAATGGCAAATTAGACCTTTGTACTATGATTTACACATTTTTCCAGTAATATCTCTCCAGTACAAACGAATTGATCATTTAACATCATTGGTGCACCCTGTATGTTACTCTTTACTTGCAAATGAGAATAATTAGAACATAAATAACTCAAAAGGTGAAAAAGCAAAAAAATGGAAATCACCATTAGCGTGTTTGATTTGCCAACCTGCAGCTGCTAGCTGGGCCGTCACGTCATCGTCCATGGCAGCCGTGAGGAGATCGCCTTCCTCGTACGTTTCGGACCCGCTACTTGGCTCATCATCGTCGTCATCCGAGATTCTGTCCATTGTGCCAGACTCTGCGTTAGGCAGAGATACCATCTTCTTGTCTTCGTCGCCCGTCTTATCCTCTGTTGTATTGCAGTGCCCCCGTCAAAGTAGATGTTGGTCTTTGATATTTTAAGCCTTCTTTCTACATCACCTTCACCTACATACAAAAACCAAAATTGCTGTTAGAAAACAATGAACAAAACAAAAGATCCTTCTGTTCGTGAATAAAGTAGTCCCCGGTTAATAGACGCATTTTATGCCCCGCTTAATTGACGCCAAGTTATCCCCACCTGGAATAGCTTCCATGGGACGAGTGTCCACGTTATCTGTGCTACTCATCGTAAAACAGTTCGAATTTTTTTCTCTCTGTTTCACTCTCCGCCAATCATTCCCATTTTTATCGCCGACGCGCTCAAGAAGCGAGCGAACCGGCGAGATTAAACAGCCGGCATGCCCTAGAACGCCTACCTCCCTCGATAACTATCGCAACGCGGACCCAAGTCAGCGTCAATTAACCGGGGACTACTGTAAATCGATCGATACATATTGATAAAATATATGTTCCTTATTACAGTGTAAAAACCCTTTGAATCTATACAATATTAAAGATTATCTAGATACATATGCTAATAAGATAACAACGCCAGTTCTCCATGCTTAGCTTCCTGAGTCATACTTCAAACCTTTCACATCTGCCCCATCTATAATATCAAAGTATTCCCCTATCTTTACCAAATTAGATAGCTCACAGCTGAAGCCATTCAACTTTCTGATCCATCACCATAAATACAGTTTAAATTGCACAAAAAGTATACAAATTAAGCTTAACAATATAACAATAGTCTCTATAACTTATACGCGTAAATGATGAAATATGTACACATGGTGAGATTGAGTGAACACAGAATGAAACATACAAGGGTTCGTCCTGCCAAAACTCTACAGACCAACAGAGTAATTCAGAGACATAAAACCTGATCTAATGACTGTATATACATATATACATAATGACTAACAAAAAATAGTTCGGGAAAGAAGCATTGAAACATACTGAACGACACGAGTAAAACGTAGAAGACAAGCGTCCAGTACGGAGATACCGTACGGGAAACGTTTTTCAAAAAGTAATAACAGTGGAATCCAGGCCGATGTGTTTCCCGCGCGTACGACCGCGAGGATCGCACGCGTCCCTCCTCGTGTGCGAAGTGCCCGCGGGAGGGGGAAGAGGCTCTCGAGAACTTAGAGCGTGAAAAGACGATGAGAACGTTGAGCGTCGTCGTCGGCGTGACCGAGATCGTCGACGGATGCGATCTCGACGAACCACTACTGATGAATTGCGACGGACCGGTGGTAAATCCCGCATGACGACAGAGCACTAAAGAAGCGTGACGAAACAAGAGAGAGAGGATGCGCCGAGTCGCGCACACGGCGCGTTTATTCGGCGACACGTTTGGGGGGGCAATGAAAATGCGCAGGGCACACGCAAAAGAGACCACCTCCGGGGCCGCAAAGCTCATGACCGTCGGTCGTACCGCGGTGAGCCATGGAGCAGGCCCAGTGAAAATCGCGAGTTGCGTACGCACCTTGTGTGTCCCTCTGAGTGGTCACCCGATCAGGGAGGGCTCAGGGTTTCGCGTCTGCGGGGAGGCCGCCGTCGGCTACGCTCTCTCACCACGCCCTACGCTCGCGTCTCGCGGTCATCTCGGGCCGCTCGTGTCAAAGCACCCGCTCACCCGCACACCACAAGCACCGTGACCCTCCGTTTGCCACGCGACCACGTTTGATCTCACCGGGCGTAAATCGCGTGCAGGTCGCGCCACGCCGCAACACGCACAACAGCCGCCATGGACACCATCGCCAGTTTCGGCAGCGACCGTCGTATCGATCGGCTACGCGACCCTCCATCACCACCACAACAAACGCGGCAGGCGAGGCGGCCATTTTGAGCGAGCCTGCGCGGTGCACTCCAAGCAGACGATGCAAAATTGCCCTTATTTCGCGACCGGGCGACGCCCGCGCATCGCCCGGGCCCTCAACTCACGCTTACCCGTTAATAACGCGCGGATATCATTTCACCACTCACCGATTTCCCGTGAGAATCCGCGAAAATGCACCAGCGACCACGGAAACACGAACACCATATACATGTATACGGGTCTGGAATAATGCGATTGGCCGCCGCGTCTCGGGTACGCGTCATGGCGTCCGCTCGATCGCCGCTCCCATTGGGCCCTGAAACACGTGACACCTAACACTACTTCGTTCCTGGAACGATGTCGCTGAGTCTCAGCCTAACCTAAGCTCCCCGCCTGAAACTTCGACACAGACGTCCCGCATCTCGCACGTTGTTTTGACGTTTCGCTTAGGACCATGTTGGCGGGTATGAAACTCATTCTTTTCCCTTTTGCATCCTTTAACGCGACGATGCTTTCTTTTATAATATAATGCTTTGGTTTACAAGAACGGTGTTTTCGTAAATATTCCATTGAAAGTTGAAACGTAGAATGTCAGGTGATTTGAAAGGACATTGATACTATTGCATTGAATTGATTCTCTTGTACAAGATTCCTAAGGGAGCAAATACATTTTATTTTTTTTTACAATCATTACAATAAATCTAACAATATAAAAGTATATTATTAAAAATAATATTTAATAGTATAAAATGTTGTAAAGCAGCTTTACATATCACATCTGGGGTGGGGTAAATTACTAACTATACACGTTAGATCAAGTGGTACTAACCAATTGGATTTTTTATGTATAATGTTTTAAGTAGACATAATACAAATGCAAGGGGTATTTTAGGTTACTAATATTATTCCGTATGTTATGTTGGAAAAATATCAGGATTTTCTCAATCCATACATTCCCAAGTCTCCACTATTTCTTTTCTCGAGTCATGTGAAAGAGGAAAGTGAAAATTCCAAAAAAGGATTTGGAAGCTGTAGCCCAATACCATACAACAATAAACTAAGCATTGTTATTTCAGAGATGTATACAGTGTTTGTAGTCTATAGTCTGATGATCTTACTGCGTTAATCCAATTGGTTACAAACAAAATACCACAATGAAGAAAAATATGTTTCTACCTTCAAGCCCATGGCTTATTCTTGTTACATAATTTTCCAAACCATCCTTGTTCGCAAAGACATGTGTTATCAGGTTGACAAGTACCATTCCTGCATGCTCTTGTACAAGCAGAACGTTGTGGAGATCGTCTACCAATTTCACAATGATCACCTTTGAAACCTGCAGGACATCTGCAGACATTGTTGCCTTTACATTTTCCTCCATTCAAGCAGGGTATTACACATTTTGCTGAAGACACATAAGAAGATAGACACTTTCTATAGCTAACATTTACACTTGGAAGATTATTAAAATATCTTCATAACTTACAGAATTCACAACGTAATCCAAAATACCCTCTAGGACATTCACAGGTGTCCTTCTGTACACATTTTCCACCGTTCAAGCATTTCTCTGTACAGATACCTAAAATTTATTATGCTCTAGTAAATTATGTCTAATTAATACATGAAACATATATACAACTTTTTCATAACGGATGTCTTAAAAATCAACTATATCAACAGCTTCTCTTTGAAATTTGTAGAAAAAATGCTACATCTAAAACAGCTTGGAATTCGATTCACCAGTACATCTGCAGCTTCAGGGGCAACTAAATCGGGCAAACTGTTAGATTCAATTATAAGAGTAGATCATGCTGGAGAATTAGGAGCTGATAGGATATATGCCGGGCAGATGGCTGTTTTAGGTATAAATTAGCTGTAAAAATTATGAGGATACAGCTAATCTTTTCAAATATGAATTTACATTTATTGTGGGTACATAAGGCAGGTAAGACTGCAGTCGGTCCAACCATTCAACATATGTGGGATCAAGAGAAAAGGCATCGGGCAAAATTTGAGGACTTGATTAGACAATATCGCGTAAGACCCACTGTTCTGACGCCTGTTTGGAATGTTGCTGGCTTTGTTCTTGGTGCTGGTACAGCACTAATGGGAGAGAAGGCAGCTATGGCTTGCACTGTAGCTGTCGAAACAGTGATCACAGAGCATTACAATGATCAGTTGCGTACTTTAATGGAAAGTGGTGAAAGTGTAGATGAAGAATTGCTAGATACCATAAAGAAATTCAGAGACGAAGAGCAAGAGCATCATGACACAGGCATAGACCATGGTGCAGAACAGGCACCATTTTACCAAGCCTTAACAGATGCGATTAAGTTAGGCTGTAAGACAGCTATATCAATATCTAAAGTCATATAATTTGTTACAGTAGTTTACGTACAGTATTTCATTACCATGTAGTGTCTAATAAATAAAGAGCATTATTTTATATATATTTGTTTGCAATTTCAAAGTACCTCCTTCGCAATACGGTCCTTGAAATCCTGGCGGGCAAGAGCAAATACCAGGAGCAGTACAGTTACCACCATTCATGCAATTTGGATAACACAATGCTTTTTTGCAATGAGGTGGTCCCAAGTAACCATCTGGACATGGTCCAGGATTGGGTTCTGCAATAAACATATCATTACTGGTATCCGAACGGATGACACGAAAATTTGTAATAAGTGTACCTTAAATGTATATATTAATAATCACAGTGCATAGTTTCGTGCACGCTAGCAAGCTGAAGTACCATGCATTATACCCGCAGTGCATGCAAGGAATCGTCGGTCGATAGTTTATTGATTCCCATCTTTGTGCAACAAATAACGACCACGATTTATCGCGAGGAAACACAAGAGGCATTCCAATGATTACTTTCCGCAACGCCCACACGAATTTAAGTAGATAAGCATAAATTGCATATACCGACCGTCATTAAAGAAACGCCCCGGTCACTTAAGAGATACCTTTATTAACATATATATTTCGGGATATATTAGGGGCAGAACAGCCACGCATTCATTCGGTCGAAAATAGCCAATTAGATAATTACGGATCCGCGAAGGCATTTGTGACGGTGAATCCGTCTGAAAGGGAAGGAGCTTCGCAAAAAAATATTTTTGGCGGTCGAGTCTACGAGGGTGTATGCTCTATGTGGCGATTAAACGGAGGAAACGATCGAAATTTATCAATAGTGAATTGTTATGTATAATGTATTCCCCAAAGTATTATTGTATATTGATACTTTTACTAATGGATCAAAGTCACTGATCAAACGTACGTCGGCCGTTCGAAAATCAAAACGAAAAGGAATCGGTATTTCGATTGTCTCCGACCGCGGCGTGCAGCAAATTAGGCGATGAATTATTGCTGATACAGAACTGTATGTGTGAGTGGAGAGATGGTGATCGTGGGCGCGATTGACGCACTCACCGCGCACGGTGCATTCTTTTCTCAGGTTAAGACGAAGGGGTGTCCCGTTTAAAGGTTTCCCCTTGCGTGTCTCGATCATCAGACCGATCCCCAATTGCGCTATACCCGAGTTATTACCGGAACAAGGCATTAGAACGCTGAATTCTGTGTAAGAAAAAAAAAGTTAATGTTTCATTTCTTCGAGCACAATTTACAATAGGGAACAACGTTGTACGGATCTCTACAGTCCACAGGGAATTCCCTGTACTTATTTAAATAACTCTATGTGTTGACACAGCTTCGACTTTGAATTTCAATTTAATAATATTAATGGTATTCCGTTTAATTATTTTCATTGCGAATTTGCATAAATTATTCATTGTTTCGATTATTCTTCGATATCAAAATGTAAGTTTGAGAGATACCATAGAGATCCCTACAGCGGTGTGCCTCTATTGTAGGATTATGTAATATCGACGGAAATTTAAATCGTTACCCTTCGGTCTCTTGGGAACTCTTCCCTGCGTTTTGATCGTAATAGATGGGGTTTTGAGGATCGACTCGTCGTACGATTTTAAACGGTAAAAATTATAGTAGTACTTCTTCACGCCGGACTTCCATGTGAAGTTCACGTACGTTACCTCACTCGGGATGATCGGCAGTTTACTCTCGAAATCCGGATCCAGTAGATACGACAACACCCTGCCCTCGGTAATCGCGAATATTTCCATTGCGAGCCCTAAGCGTGACAGAAAATAGATCGATGTCGGTCGTTTTTGCATCAAGAAACGTATTTCTATCGAATCGATTCTCCGAGAGTGTAAGTTCCGATTCGATCGGTCGGAACTTCCAGATCATTGGCATGTTTCTCGATTCGTAAAAATCAAAATGATCAAAACATTTAATTTCATAATACGATATCAGGCTTTTCATTATCAGAAGAACAAATAATCGATCAACGGACATCTAAATAAATGCTGCGGAATATTTCCGATCCGTTTAAAAAGAAAAAAAAAACAAGCCAACTTTTTCCCGCGAAGTTTCCAATACCGGCTGACCCTGTCTCTCGACGATTTACGTTATTACAGGGGCTGACGATCACATGACGATTCTACTGACAATTCATCAAACACGAATATACATATAAGCCCTAAATATCGTTCTTGTCAAATTTATAAACATACACAAAATATAATGTGGGTTCACACGGTCACCAACCCGTAGTAACAATATCAATCACGACGCCACGTTAACACCGACTCCAATGAACAAACGATCGACTGCGCGACCGTATCGTTTCAAATTAATCGTTCAAGGAACGGTTCGGTTTCCGACTAATTCCCTGAAAAGAAAAAAACTGGAATCGTTCGCGGGAAGATTTTCGGTGTGGCCGGGCCGTATGTATGTATCTACCCGTCGTCCGTCGACTCACCGCTGAACATTTTAATCTGTTGCTGGTCGATCCACAGGGAGATGTCACCGGACGGTTTGTGCCCATTGCCGGAACGATGGTGATGCCTCGCGGCCGCCGTGTCCAGGAGCAGAGCGATCGCCGCCGAGGCCAGGGCGGCTGCGGCCCACTGCATAATTAACGACGTGCCGCCAGGTGTTGCACGGTTTATGACTAGCCCCCCTTGTGGCCTACGGTTCCGAACACGTCTATCTGTCTTTCTCTTGCGGCCACGGGCCAGGCTGTGTGCCCCTCACGGCTGGTCCGTTGCTTTGCGTGCCCTCTCTTTTTTTTTTTTAGTGCGAGCTTGGACGTGGGTAGACAAAGAGAGAGAGAGAGAGAGAGAGAGAGAGAGAGAGAGGGAAATAGTAGGAGGAGAGGGAGAGAGAGACAGAGATCACGAAGGAACACGCCGCCGCGACTCGACGCGTGAAATTCGGGATTTCACGGCAAGAAGCTCGAGCCGAACCGGGCACGTTCTCACGCACGCAATCTAACGAGCTGACACAACCAAGAAGGGACAGAGAACCGGTGGCTTTCCAGCGGTGTTCGACTTAGCGATCGAACGCGCGACCGGATCGATCGCGACCGCCGTCCGTCCGACCGGTTGACCGACAATCAATTCTTCTCGCCCGCTCTGTCGATAATGCAGCCACCCAACAGGGTGATCCCACCGACGGACAACACAACGACGATCACGACACAACAACGCTCGAGAGCGAGTGAGTGTGAGAGAGTGAGAGAAACGTGAACGAGACGCCGCGCATACACACGTGTGTACGGTTCGCGTCGCTGCGGCAAACTGACTGACTGACTGACTGACTCAATGAGAAAAGGCCTGCAGCCGCAGCAGCAGAAGAGCAGCAGCAGCAGCCAACAGCAGCCAGCAGCAGCCCGTAGTCTTCTTGCCCGTGAGACCGCGAGCAAGATCTCTATCTTCTGAAGGGGTCCCGATACGCTCCGGGGATAAGGGTGCGTGCACAACGATCCAAGGTGTCGATATCGGCTGCTCGCCACCACCCTCTCTTCCCCCCTCGATTCTTTGCCCGTTTGATCGCCCTTTTCGTTGACCGTGACTTTCACTTCTTTTCTTCTTTGTCCTCGTTAATTATACGTTCTCTCTCTCTCTCTCTCTCTCTCTCTCTCTCTCTCTCTCTCTCTCTCTCTCCCCTCTTTTTAGATACGATCGGAGGAATTTTTTCATCGAACGACATTGACTCTGTTTTCGATAGCGAATTTCGGTCCAATCGGCACGAGCTTGGAAGCGTATCCAGGGTATTTGCATTACCTTCAAATTTGGTGCGGGTGTACCAAGTGACACGAAAGTAACTGTATCTTGAGTAACGCATAGAAAATATCTGAAGTGAAAAGAAATACAATGTAAGAATAATAAATAACAGTGTTGAAAAATTAGCAGCAGTAAGAGAAAAGGAAATTCACCTGACAGGTTAGCATGAAGAGTTCTCTGTCTTGAATCAAACGAATCAATTTGTCAGAATTCTATTTTCGAAAATGATCGATCGGACGTTCGACGAAAGTTGTTGGAAAAATGATTTGGCACAGTCTAGAAGGTTAGATATAAAATGTTCCCGTGGGTTTAAATTGACGAAAAATTAATTGATCCATTTTACAAATGGACCGTCTTGAAAAATTACCATCGATCCGGGTGTAATTGGCGCGCGCACGGTACAATTCTCGGCTCGAATTCTTCGTATTCCACGAGGTCTCCTCCCTCTGAATGATTTTATTAAAGACAGACACGCTTCGGTCCCGATAAACATCTGGCGGATTTATCTTCTGGTAAATCGGAGGCGGACCCGTCGACATATTTTACGGTCCGGCTGGGCCGATACCGACCTTCCTTCTCGGGACTCGAATATAGTACACGCGGATATATGGAAATCAGAATTCGGATTAGCAAATAAGGTGAAAAGAAAGATCGGTGGAAGGAACCAGTTTTTAAACGTCTTTGGCCGAGATCCTCCTCGTTTTCTTCTCTTCCATTCTCTTTCGTACTTCGTTTTCTATTCCCCACCTCCTCTTCTTCCTCCTCCATGACCTCCCCACACCCCACTTCAGCTGTCTGTCTTTGCGTTCGGCAAAGAGAATTCACGGTTGCAGTTTGGACTTTGTTCTCAGGCTTGACACCGAGTTCTGCCCATTGATTTATCGGCATCAAGACTCGCCTTAAATAGTTCGACTACATACTCGGAAGAACCGAATAGAATCTTTCTCGTCTTCGACGACGGAGGTTCGTGAATTCCGTTACGGTTCGACAGATTTTGTCGTCTCCATGTTTCGAAAATTATCATTTTCATGTTTCAAGCCTCTTCGTTTATTTTATGGTAACCGTCAACCCTATAAATATTGAGTGTTAATCAGATCCGAAACATGTCTTGCACAGTTTTTCTCTTTTTCAGACAGCCACCTTGTATCGTCAATTGCAGCGACATCTTTTTTGTACGGTCACCATTTACTAATAACGTAAAAAGAAATAAATAACACAGTCGAAGAGTATCTCTGTCGGGGTTGATAAACTCGAAATTCCGTCGTCGTTACATATATATACACGGTTTCCTTTTCGTGATCCTCCATTCTCGGCACGGTCGGTTCTTCCCATCGAATGTTCGACCACAGTTCCGCGGTATCGTTTTGTAATCCGTTACAAAGGCCGGCTTGTTAGGTGCTGCCCACGGTGTACGTATATACGACATGCACGATTTCACACTCTGCCGCTTGTGGTGTCGGTTAGCCCGCAAAGATTTTTCGCGCCTCGCGTAGAGCACCGACTCCCTGGACTCTTTTCGACGGCGAATTGGATCCTCTCTTAGTGGCGTGGTTGGATTCCCGTGGGATTTTCCACGAACAGGTGCCGGTAACGAAAGATGCAGACGAGTCTCGAAAAATATATATGGTCAATGTCCCTATTTCTAATCATGAAAGAGTTCTACTATCGCAGAAATTGATTTTTATTATATATTTATGCAACAATCGCCAAAAAAAATTTTATTAGATATAAAACCTCCCATTATATATTACTTAACTTTTTACATTAAACAAAAAATATACGTACTAAGAAAAACTCGGGACATTGCGGATATCCTATTTCGCAAAAGAAACAATCTTTGTATTAACCTTAAAAAAGTTTCTTCACGATTTTCGACCATACGTCCGAAATCTATAGTCATAATAATGGGGGGAGGGGCGCCCGTCGTCTACATTACTATTTCCGAACACAGGATTCGAATGGACCCTCGATCAATGAATAATACATGATATACGATAGACGGGCTGCTTGTGGCCCGACTTCATCAGCGGTGGACTGTCTTCGATGGTGGTTCCTCCGTAACATGGAAAAGAAGTTACATTTAAAATTAAATGCATTCGAACCAGTAATGAAAGTATCCTAATAAAGGGTATCTTGTTTCAGGAGCGACATTGATATCGAAAACCAGTAAAACAAATTTAAATATATTTTAACCCATAGTCCAGAGAAAGTCTATCAACTATCCTCAACATGTATCATCTGACTTCCTATTTTATTCCCTTTGCGCCCCCTCCCCGTATTCTTAGTTAAGCAACCTAATTATAACGTAACGTGAACTGTTTCTCCGTCAAAGACAATAAAAATCCCTTACGCCTTTAATTATTTTCTTCTTTTTTCAATACCAAATCCATTTCTGAAACAGTCCCATTTCTCAGCATATACCTTGTACGGCACGCGTGAAACGCGCGTGTTAACCGAACAAGTAATAAATAAAAAATTTAAAAAAACCGAACAAGCCTATGCTTCCCAAGGTGTTCCGGATAATCCGTTTGAGGAGGCGCCGGTTAACGCGGGTGATTTTTAACGCGTGCGCGCGTCGACGTTCTCTCGGCGACCTGTAACGAAGAGTCTTGAAAGCTCCGAGACGATATCTTCATTTTTAAAGGTCACACGCATGCCGTAGGTCCCCCAAGGGACGAGTGGGGGAGGGGGGCTGTTCATGGTTCCATCGGCTTTAAGAGAGCGCTCAATGAATAGTTGATAATAGTGTCCATTGTAGGCCGCGTGTCCGAGGGGATGGGCCCATCTAACAAATGGCCCATTGTTATCTTTTACGGCTCTTCGGTTTTTCTCTACCTCCTTCTTCTTCTTCTCCTTCGTCCCCTCTCTTCCCGTCGTCCTTCTTTACCGTCGCGCACGAGAAAAACACGGCCGTGCACACCACACATGCACACGCACAGGATAATTCAGAACGGCGAAACGATCTCACGTTCGGAGCTATTATTACGCCCGTATCGCCGATTGAAAAATATATATGCACGAGTCGTGTGTAGCTCTCTTGTAATCGGGCAGGTATAAAACACCAGTTCTTTTTTCCTTCGTATAAGTTCGAATTTCGCGCGTGGTATACCTGAAACGAATACATTTGTATTAGATCGAAAGTAGATGTAATTTATTAGGTTTCCAACGAGACGCTTAATAAATTCTTACACGGTACCATTCTCACGGGCCATCGGAGGCGAACAGATGAGAAGGGTGGGGCTTAAGGTAATCGATTTCACGGGTATCGGAATCCTCCACGCGCAGGGGGAGGTTGGGTAATCAATTTTTAGAGGTTAAGACGCTCGCTGAACCTCCCGATGCCCGAGCGAAATTAGAGGATATTCGATAACGCGACGCGTTCTTGGTGTATTACGGCCGGCCCACGGGATAAGGCATCTCGCCCGATACGCACAACGTACAATTGATCCGAACGGGTATTATATACATATACGTGGGCTCACGAACGGGGAAGCGAGTCCCTCGATGGGGCCCCGTCTCTGCGCCGAGCGCGACGACCGGTGCCGGTTTTATTCCCGATCGAATGTTTTTGCCCGACCGTCGCAAACCTAATTGGATTCGCAACGATCGCCTCCACCGCGCGGGGCCGTATATTTACAGGCGGGCATTACGCAAAATCACGTGCATACGGGTCGGTCCCCGGCGGTTTTTAAACGTGTACCCCGGGCCGGCCCGTTTGAACCCGTATCAACGCCCAGAGCCCCTGTTCGATCGTGTCCGTGGAAGGGAATCAAGGCCCGCCACGCGATTCGTTCCGCCGTTTAATCGCAACGGATACTTTGTACCCACAAAATTGCGTTATCCAAGCGCCGTCCGTTCCTTGCGGCGATCCGCCGAAGCGGCCTTTCTTCTTTTTTTTGCACGACCGATTGAATTCCAAGTGCAGCAGAAACACCACATTTGCTTGAATACGCCTGATCAACTGAACGTATAATATTCACGGGGCAGTCGATTGGGAGGTAACATTTTTCATCTTCATCCTGCGGGACAAATCAAAATCGGTAGACGCCCTTCGCCTTCCCAATGCACTCTTTGTCATGTAAATCACTACTGGCACAAATATCTCAATTTATGTAAAGCATCTTGTTCCTTAACAGGTGGATCTTTAATGTTCTTTTTACCTACCCTTATATATATTTACATATGTTCCACGAGAAATGATTAAGGACGCATTTCAAGAAACCACGTCTATTAATCTTGCTTCTTGTCTAGATTGTTTCTCGCCGTGCGACGGGTAAATGCATATTCAAATCGGTACGTTGTATATTATACGCTGTATACTATACGCTGCTAGGTCAAGAAGACAATGCGATCCGAACACCGACGGCCCTATACAATGTATCCTGATATATCTACTTATCCGTTGTAATTCTTACCTTGCCGTTGTATCCGCGTTCGATCAGCGGTGCAACCCGTATTATACGATCTTTCTCCATCGTACGGGTCGACCTTACCTTGCTCTTCTTCCACGGGGAACACGGACGCACGCACACGACGTGCCACCGTCCATGGTCCTGCTCCACACACACGAAAGGAACGTTCCGCCGTCCGGCAGACAGGCCGGGCAAACAGCAGGCGCTAACGTCGATGCATGTAACTGACGACGACCAGATCTCTCTCGGGTATAGGTATACATTTCTGCGTCGTCGACTCGGCATCCCCCTTTTGTCCCTTTTTTCTCTTCTCTTTTCGCATCTTACGGTTCGACAGGGAGCAAGGGTGAGAGAGAAATTGTCAGAAAGTAAGGGTAGGGTGGGGGGGCACATACGTTGAACGACGGAACCGATTGAAATGGACCGATGAAAGTGGGAAAACGCGGGAAAAGAAATGGCAGGGGAGCAATGTAGGCGGTAGAAAAAGATGGAAGAGGAGCGACGTTACGGGAAAGAGCGAGAAGGACTGGGAAGAGACGAGAAAGAGTGAAAAGGCAGCAGGTAGAAAAGAGGAAGGGAGACTCCACGAGAGATCAAGTTAGAGTACCGGCACAAAAAACCTGTCCCGCATAATTACATTATCGGTCACATCTCGTTCGACTTCTGTCCGCGCGGCCCTCGTGCTTGCCCGACCGAACGTGCTCCTGTGGAGTACTGTGGACAGAAGGGCCTGCCGTCTTCGAATACGATGCAACGAGGGACTCCTCCGGGGAACCTCAGGGGGTTCCCCTATCCTTGCTCCCCCCCCTTTATCAGATCTTTCCTCGAGCATCGACGATTCGAATTGAAAATTCTAACAAATCATCTCCGCGAACTACAAGAGTTGGGCTCGGGTCATCTTTACCCGGCCGAGGTTCATGGCTGTTGCATTCCGAAATGCTGAATACGTGAATGCTTAGAGGGAATATGAACATCACATACCCCAAAGAACAATGCCCCTTGGTAATTCGGTGCCTTACTCAGAATTAATAATCATATGAAATACAATTGACAAACATCTTTGTATTATATTCAATTTCGGTCAAAGACTGGGTGTTGTCACTTTCGTATAAAAATCGGTGCTATTTGAAATGTCTCGGTTAGCTGGAAAATAACATTCGAAGTTACACAATAGAATTGAATATTTAATCAGCGTGTCTGGTCGTCTTTTAGATTTTCGCTTATTTTATTCATCATCTTTTTATTGACATCGGAGATGTTACACAGGCGTTGGAATGCGCGTTATCGTAATCGCTGATAAACGGTCGGAACTTAAGGCGAATCGAAGTTTCTTTTTTCCGTTTTTTCTTTTACATAACATCGTAACGTAATCCAGTACACCGCGATCCGTTGCGCTATGAGAGATAAAATGAACCTTCAATCAGGTTGCTAAACTCTGCAGTCTCTACACCGTAGAAAAAATATTGAAACGGTCGCACCGCCAGAAATATGCACCGGACACATGTCCACGCTTTGACATTGTCATCCGTGCATCTTTCTGTCGGTAAACGTATCGGTATCTTAATAGTAATAAGATAATGTACAATGAAAGAATAGCACGATAGGCGTGCACATGTTTGAATAAGTTTGTATCTTGTACGTATGATTTCTTGTCTATTTTGTTGTTGTTTTCGATATTGTACCGAGTCAACATGTGCCGTCCCCGTGTTTACTAAATGAACACTGGCTTCGTGGAAAAACGTACGTAGTATTCTCATTGAAATCTGTGCTGCGCAGACATTTTTCGTTTCGCGACGGGTATTTATAAATAAAAGCTGTCAATAAAAAATAGTCCGATCAAAAACACACGAGATTCGACGCTAATTTACGCCACTTACATTTCTACCGTGAATACAAAAAAGAAAGCTTCGTCGTGTACAATAATGAGTAATGAAATAATACAAAGAGAAGAAAAATAAAACGAAGTATCAAAATATATTAAAAAGTATCAAAACATTAGTTACGCGTACGAGAGAGTTACTTGGAAGTTCACATAAGCTGCTACGTGTTTTTCGTCCGACTGGAGAAATTCCGAGTATACGCTGAAGGTGATTTCGACGCGTCGAAAATATACAAAAGATAGTACGATTAGAAAAATACATTGAAACATAATCACGCACGCTTTGTAAGTGACTTGGACGTCGATGCTTATCCCTTGGAAATATAATTTAATACAAGTTTACGATAAATGACGCTCTAATATATTACATATATGCCTCTGCGCTTTTACTCTTTTTAATATACTTCGGTATCTTTACAATAAATTATTGTGTTCTTTTGTTTTAATAATTTACAATACATCTTTCCCTTTTGTTAGCGCCTATATACGTATGTATGTATATATGTATAGAGTTCGTAAAAATTACGTGACGTCCAAGCCATTTATCTTGTATATTTGTACAGGATAATCGGCAAAATAGAACCTAACAAATATTAATTGAAACATCTAACTCTTGTCGCCGAAGGAAACGTGTCTTATTTTGTCATAATGGCATCGAATAGAAATTTAAAAGAAAAGAAATTAAAAATAGCTGATTACTATGCCATTCGTCCTTTTTGTGTGAGCTGAGAGATGCGTATCCTTTCTTTGGAAGTATCATATACATTTTTACGAACTTTACGCGCACGTGTATTGTAAGTATTCTATACTTTGTACCTTTTCTTTATTTTTGTACCTGACATATTTGCTCGCGACACTTTTGCAGACAACCTGTACATTGCATTGAATATGCTAAACTTAATACGGTAAATAAAAACGTACATTTATTCTTACGGAAATCAACGAATCATTTACCTATGATCTCATAACACTTCATATACTAAAACGTAATAATAGCTACTCCTGTGTGATCGCGTTCATTTTTTAAGAATCTAAGCATTAATTAATAATCAATATATGTCTCTCTATATATATATTTAATATTTTATATATTAATTAATCAATACCCTATATTCATTGGATTATAATAAAATTACAAAAAAAAAAAAAAAATGAAAAGTAAACATCCATAAAAATAAAAGGACTTCTCATTCGTCTCAGCTAAAGCACGTTTCACATACAAAAAGCAACAATTAGAGGCCATGTGACATATTTCTTTCTTTAACTACTATAGTGCATGTACAATGTTCCTTTTAATATCATAATATTAATAATATCTTTCATATATTTTTGTCGTTCGTGTATCGTTAATGAAAGTGCGAGTGCACAATAGTTGTTAGATGGTCGCTGATTCGTTTACGTTTGGCCCTCTGTCGGCAGAGTAAAAATTGATCGCATCTAAAGGTCTTTAGAACAATCTTCTCATTTTTTTCCCCTTCATTTTCTTTAGTTTAAAAGTAGAATCAGTCGAGGCCAGATTGTGACACAAGTCGCAACATCAGTCCCTCCGATTTTCAAGATTGCATATAAGTAACACCGGTTTAACTAATTTCGTATAACATGAATTATAGATACTGATCAGATCTTTCTTCCATTTCGCCCATATCAAATGTGATCCTCATATGCAGCCTGAAAAGTGCATTCTGCTTTTGTGCCGTACACACTTGGAACAATATAAACATAACTCGTATACCCTGTGACAAGCTGTTGTGTCCTTATCAATCTGGCCTTGTCAAAAAATGTTTACTGTCGATGCTAGAATATTTTCTACTATATTATGTCCATAAATAGCTTGCACGCTATGAGACACCTATCATCGTCTTTGGGTTTTATAATTAATCAATGATCATCAATAAATTCATCATTTGTAGCTAATTTCCGATCGACTAACAAACGGTACTTCCAATTCACAGTCAAATAATCTCAGATCAACGTTCTTCCGATTGCTAAAATGATTGCCCAAATACTCGAGCAGCACGTCTAAATAATGTGTATGTATCAAACATTTAAGAGGAATTAAGTCTTCGGATGACATGAATGTACAAATGTTGTGCATGACTTGTATATCCCTTAGATCGGCTCGATATAGAAACATTTACTTATACGACTACGTAAACTATAAAACCCAAAACCAAAGTCTAATTGGCAGTATAGTGTTGGACATTGCGCCCAGCGCAAGGTGCATAGCAGAGCTGCTGCGGCTAGCGAGAACTGGAGCCCTCGTTTCTGACAAGAAAACAATTTTCATGCGGCTTGGATAAGATAATGGCAGAGGTTACACGTATGTGGCCATAGTACCGCTTGGAATGGGTGGTGTTTCTTCTGGTCTAACCTTGGGCCCATATTGTCCGATGAAAGAACCATCCTCCGTGAAACGTCCTTCAACAAAACGCAATTGAAATTAATATATCCATATTTATATTTAAAATCTTACACGCCGAGACAGCTACAAATAATGTGTTTATAGATCGTGCTTGAAAGCACTGACTGACCTACCTTAAACCAATGTGGCAAATGCTTGTGAGTTAGGCTCTTGTTTACGGTGTCGACCGTACTGACCAATGAATGACCCGTCTTCGTTCATGCCTTCTGTATTAAGTGAAGTGATAAAGCAAATAAAATGGAGAAATAAAATAATAAACGTAACTTAAACCGCTAACTAGGAGAAAATGAATAATTTCTAAAGTAAGATTCTAATCTATACACGTACATAATTTTTCCACGATAGAAAAAAAAGAGAAACTGAAAAACCATTGAACAGAAATATTCTATGACCATACATCCTGTTGCATATACATATATGTGGGAATTGGTGCGCTAGCGCATACTCTAACTAAAAATATACATACCTGAATTGCCCTCATTACTCTGTTAACTTAATATAAATTGACCTTTATTGCATTTTAAACTGACCTGTGTCTCCCTCTCCGTATTCCGCCATAGAATCTGTGTCAGATTCCGGATGTTTGCCGTCTTGATGGGAGGACGATGCCAAAGACGCTCGACCGCCCGCCGATTTAGTGTCCAGAGGTTGCGAATACTCATGGAAACCACCTTCTTCCGGATAATCGCCGCGGCCGGCAGCCAATTCTCTTTCGTGTACCGCGTATTTTCCGCCTCTGTTGCGTTTAATAACACAGACAATTATAAGTACCAAGAGAAGGAACGCGATCGCAAGCATCATTCCAATGAACCAGCCGGCGGTCGCGACATTTTCCTTCGGTTGAATGATGGGCCCCTCGCTGCTTGTTTCAACCTCCTGTTGTTCGCTCTCTGTGACGTAATTTCCATCGACGGCGACGACAGACATCACGTATACTTCGCCGCTTTGAAGTCCGCGTATCTCGATCGTGTTCAACAAATACTCCGGGTCCGTTTCGAGGAATATCGTTTCACCCTTAAGTTTGTACTTCACGAAAAAGTGACTTCCCGGATTCCCGTTAAGATTCAGCTGCCAAATGATTCGCACGTTCGAATAGCCATTCTCTTTCGGAATGGTTTCCCACGTGAAATGAGGTATGTCCGGAGGTTGAGACTTCCGTGTTTTTTGTTCGATGAAGTAACTAACGGAATAAAACAAATTAGTTATGTTCAAATTGCCAAGAAATTGGGAATTTGAATATTGTATGAAGAAACGTACTCGTTCCCTTCGCCAACTTTCGTTGTCGCCCGTATATGTATACGATATTTCGTGTCGGGCACCATGTCTCCCAATTTCGCGCTTGTAGCTTCTGGATCCATAATGTGAGGTTTTCTTTCTAACAATGGGCCTAACCTAGTGCCGATTACCGGTTCGTAATAAATTCTGTACCCATTTAAGATACCATTTGGTTCGGCCGGTTTCGTCCACACCAAAAATAAGGCGCTGGATCCCATAGGATACGCCTCCAAGCCGAGAACTGTTCCCGGAACTCCTTCGGGTGTATCGAAGCTTAAAGTTTCAGAAGGTGGTCCCGCGTACCTGAAATAAAGAATTAATATTGTAGATTCAAATATAATAGCAGACAACTAAGAATAACAACTTTAGTTTTCGTTACCGGCCATTGTACGCTAGTATCCGGACATAATTCTTGCTGAATGGAACGAACTTATTGACGAGTGCGTGCGTCCTGTTACCGCCTCTTATATCGATTTCTCGCATTCCCTTTTCACCATCCTTCTCTGTCCACGTTTGGATCTTGTATCCTTGTAATTCACCTCGCACCGAGTCTTCGGGAACTGGATTCCACGAGAACTGCGCGCTGGTACTCGACTTCACTTGGTTCAGCGTAAAATTACTGGGCGCCTGCAGTGGCACTATAAACATATTAAACACAGTTTCCATTGACACGGCCGTTAAAACGAATCACAGAACGGAATAAGCGAGTTCATCGAACTGAACAAACCATCTTCTCCGGAGTATCCAATTATTTCCTCGGGCGCAATTCTGCATTCTCCCCTCTCATTAATAGCCACAACTTTAATCCTGTACCTCTGGTAAGTGGGCTGATTGTCTACTACCAAATCGTTTTTCCTCCAATCGTTTATATCCTCTATGGTCCATTTCTCCCCCGGTATGTCGCGTTTATAGTACACTCTGTACATGAATTTCGGAGCGTTGTGCTCTATTTGCGGCATGGTCGTCCACGATATTACGAGATTTTGCGGGGTAGATCCTTTTCCGACGACATTATCGGGATTCTTGTAAGGAACGTCCGGCAACGTAGTGCACACATCGCTATGTGGCGATGGCAACGACGGTCCTACACGAAGAATTATCATTAATCGCCTGTACAATACATCGAAGCATTTCGACGCATTTAGAATCTTACCTATTTTATTCCAAGCCAATACACGGAACGTGTAGTTCGCCCACGGCGTCATAGGAACGACGTACGTTTGTTCAGTGGCTGGCACAGAATCCCTCGATACTTCCCAAGTATCTGGCGTGAAGGTTGTATTGTGTTGAATAGTATATCGTAAGATCGGAGCTCTATTATCGCCCATAGGTGTCCAATGTACGGACGCGTCGTTTGCCATACAGCGCACACTGAGTAACTTCGGTGAGTTTGGCACATCCTGAACAACTAGCGTCGCCTGTGCTTTGGTCTCGTCCAATTCCGTATGAGCGACACACGTGTAAGTACCAGAATCCAATTCTGTTGTTTTCGTAATCATTAAAGAGTAATCGGTGCTACGAATGAAGCGTGGTTCCATCTCGAAATCTATGGGTTCGCCGTTGCTTAACCAATCGATTGTTAGGACCATACTCGGATCGGTTACTGCATTGCATCTGTAATAGAAAGTATTTACTGTTACACTTTCATGTCGAAAACGAAGGAGTTCATAAATGACAAGGAACGCAATAAAGATATCACGTTTAAATACACCAATTAGTTACCTAAAGGTTGCAGTGGAACCTGCAGCAACTTCATAATCTTCCGGTTCATCCGTAATCCTTGTATGTTCCTTTACCACTAGATTACCAGTAGCCTCGACTTGTCCGAATTTATTAGATGCGTGACACGTATAAGTGCCCGCATCTAAGAATATTACGTTTTCGATCTCTAGATCGCCAGACTCTAGAGTCTTATATCGACCGCCAGTCAATTCTTGATCGTTCCGTGCCCATTTAACGGCCGGCTTCGGTGCTCCAAACACACGACAAGTGATCCTTACCGTTTTACCATCGACCGTAGCGATATCCGCCGGGGGTTGTGTGATTTCGGGCTCTAAGGCTAGAACATTTACGTACACGTCTTTGTATACGTAACCCAATGAATTTGTCGCGTTGCAACCGTAATTTCCGGTGTCTTTCTTCGTCAGTTTCTCAATGATGATCGAGTTCGATGTAACTTTTCTACGCGGATTTGGTGGAGCCTCCGATATCGGTTTACCATTGTGTATCCATTTGATTTCTGGGACAGGTACACCGTCAGCCGCACACTTAAACTCGACGGTTTCGTCTTCCGCCGCATTGATTATCTCAGGTTCAATAGTGAAATATGGTACCGCCATCACTTGCAAGTTTATCGAATACGATTGCGCGTTTCCTACTCCGTTGGACGCTTCGCAGGTGTACGTACCTTCGTCTTTAAAATTGACGTGTTTTATTATCAACGATTTACCATAATTCCCCTGTGTTATTCGATCGTTTGTTCTAACCACTTCGCCGTTTTTACTCCATACTATTTGTGGCAGTGGCGTGCCACCATATATGCAATATAATTCAATCTTTTTACCGCGTAAGGCAACTTCGTTTTTCCTACTGACGTATTGTTTAACGGGCTCGTGTTTGTTCTGACTAGCAGATACCCCCGATGAAATAACATTCAATAGAACTTTATTCCCTAATTTATATTCACTTCTGAATAAAGACGTAGCTGCGCATGCATAATAAAAATCGTCAGAGGCATCGTTTCGAGAGACATTGCTGAACCAAAGGTTTCCTTCCGGGTCCAGTGTCATTCGGGAATTATTGATCGATTTGATGGCCCCGGCAGTATCTTGTATTAACCAATATACGTTTGGTTTCGGCCAACCATCTGGCGGTTGGCATGTCAGTTTAAACGGTTGTCCTTCATTCGCATCCAGACTTATAGGATTTTGATCCTTGAATGAATTTAATTCGGCTTTCCTCACGAAAACCGAATTAGATGTGGCTATTCCCCATTCGTTTTCTGCAAAACATTGGTACTGTCCTAGATCTTCGTCTCGTGGTCGAGAGATCACCAGTGTACCTCGACCTGGTTGCTGAGAGATACGATCGTCATAAGCTGGCCATTCAAAGTTTTTCCCATTTTTAATCCATCGGTACCTGTATGAAATTAAAATTTATATTATCAAGTTAACATTGATGTTAATAGTAAGTATCGAATATAAGGATTACTGTTCCAAGAATAATACAGTTCCTTTAAATGCTATTTACAAACGAACTAAAATAAATCACAACATGGTATCAATATTGTTTATTTTTCTTTAACATCTCAGAGGCCACTCCCATGCCTGTAGAATTTACACCACAAGTAAGGTATCTTTATCAGTACTAGTAACTTTATATCCCCTAAGGCTATGAGGTCATCCTGGTAATTAAGACCAGTTACTCTGGCTTCTTTGCAGAACAGAGATAGTACACTTGAATACGAGTGCAATGAAACTGCATGAATGAAATCTCCATGGAAAATGCAAATGTACTGTTATGCTATTAATTACTATTTTCAAATATTTTGTTCGCATAAACCATCAAACAATTGAAATTGAAACAAGGAAATATTCCTTGATTGATTTTATTAATAATTTCAAAGAGAATACCATTGTGTTAGAGAATAATAAGCAAATTTGTGTTCTATTTACTTTCCAATAACATGCACTTTACCCTGGGGCAGGTTCTCCTTCTGCTTCACATTCTATTAAAAATGGTTTCTCGTTCTCATTGACCTTTGCTTGAGCCACTTGAAATAACTGCTCGTCTGTCGGGGGTTGTTTGGATATCCTTGGTGGAGATTGGACTAATGAAAGATACAAATGACAAACATGTATAATTGTTACATTTTTAAAGCTCGTCAACTCTGCTATTGCTATGCAACAACAAATCAAACTTTTTAATTAAATAAATGCAATGCAATTAAATGAAACAAAGAATCAATAAAAACACTCCTGTAACTAATAAAAAAAAAGTTAAAACTTAACATATGTAAAGAAATGCAGTGAAATATAGTGAAATCAAAATAATAGAAACAAGCTTTTAATTTCATAGAATGTAATTACATTAAACAGAATTCACTTAGCATAAAAAGTGGTACAAATGCAAGTAAAAGCAAATAAGTATTTTTTTTTAAATTCCTGAATTGTATAGCATTAAACTTTCTATTTTAGACATCTATAAAGCATCTTAAATGTACAATAACAGAAATCAATGCGATTTGTTATTAAAAACTAGATTTGTAGTAAGCAAATCTGTCTCTAACAACTCTACAATTTTTTTCACCTCCTATAATATCCAGGATACGAACTATAATTAAAAATCACAGATTGTTATAGAAACTGAAAGATCGGGATGGGTGTTAACAACAAATTTATTATGCCAAAATGAAATACAACAACAGAATTACACTCACTTATCGCTGATGCCTGTAGGACCAATGTTGAGATAATGCACACGATGAGCTTCATGATTGGCCGGTATTTTCTTAATCTAGAAATAAAAAAAGAACTGCCCTAAAATTCGCGGCTATCAAGATTTAAAACAAGGTGTAACAAACGTGATCGAAGCATCAAATACTCTGACTATGAATTCGAATTGGATATTCGAAATCGGACTTCGAAGCGATCCGGATGCCTAAATTCATTGCAGCCATTCGAAAACACAATACACTACGGCATAGAAACCGGAAATTCATCGTTTCAATCTTCACTATTCATAACGAATTTATCGAATGAAATCGTCAAAGCGGCCTTTGCTAAGTCCTATTCACGGCCATGAAAAGCGATTTTTCGTCTTCGGTTCGAACGGTATCGAATTATTGTTTGCACTGGTTCGTATACATGTCAAACTTGGACAGGCATTATTTCGAATACAAAACAAATGATTGTCCACTTTTATCTTGAAGATAAAATTATTTCATATCAGGATCAAATAAAACATTTTAAAGTAGCAGTTCATTTCAGTTCACTACCTCAAACAAACTAATAATAGCCAATTTCAAATACAAAACGGGTTAACAGATGATTTGATTGAAAACCGAATAATGAAATAATCTAAATAAACATCGCTTGCTTGTCGAGTAAAAACAATGCATGAACCCTTGGAAATAATTGCTAATCGAGTAATTATTTTTGAAACATTTTATTCAAGTAATGCTCAATCGCAATGCACACGCTCAAGGCTGTAAATCATTTACACGAACAAAAAGTTCATCTCGAACGATACTAGTTAAAATTGTCAAGTTCCGTGAAAATGTTACACTGTGGTAAGTTGCCAATGGAGATGTGAAAAATGGGCGTGCTCTCCGCGGCGACGGGCAGCATATAGATCAGACATGTGTCAGCGTACCCGGTTAATTGTATCAAGCGATTCGAAGCATCCTAGAGTGCTAATATCTGAAGGCAAACGTGGAGAAATAAAAAAGATCGGCTGTACGGTAATCAGGAATTGCTTTTCAGGTCGCGCGCGATCGTTGTCGGGAACAGGTGATGGTGTCATGATGATCTCACCAAAGTTGTCCTTCGAAATCACAACATCGCGCACGAAAATCACGATTTTATAGTCGTTTGATTCGATCGCCTATCCACGACACACGTCAGACAGTTGTCTGATATTCAAGAAAATCTTATCGATCGGGCGTTAGCTGGAAAACAGATTTTCCTATGGGGAACCAAAAAGGAAAAAAGGGAACACACACGGGGCTGGGCATACGAACGGGCACACCCGCGAACCAACATTGATCGCCGACGCTGTTCCGCTCGTTTCACGCGTTCCACACCGACACCTCGATCCTGCGTCACTGAAAACCTAACCGTTTTCACAATGTTAGGGATCGGCTCACCTATCTCAACGTATTCGGAAGTGTTTATAATGTTAAAATCCCGTCATCACCAAGGCATCATCGAAAAACCACTGACTCGCGCACACGTAACGCACCGTACGGTACTGTACCGCTGTAGATGTGCACGTTGCATGTATTGCAGCTACGTCCTCCCACCTAACGCTTCCCTGCTACACTGATTCACACCGATGCGCCTTTAACAAAACTCTTAAGGATCTCTCACACCGTGAATAGATTTGACATTTCATTCTGCTGTACTGAAATGATTTATTAATGGCACTCCTTTCGTACATTAGATTCGAAATACTGAGAAACATGAGGAAGTTTATTGAAATGAATATTGCATTATGCTGTGTACCAATAAGTAACCGACTATTTTGGCTCCATTCCTGTGAGTTAAATTCGTGGCACTAACAAAAAGAAAGAAAGTCTTAACCGTATTGTTAGTAGAATTACGGAATAAGCAAGATAGTTAGTAACATCCGTTAGTTTAAGCTTCAAATGCACGAAATCCGTAGTCTAATGTAGGACAACTAATCGAACTTTCTCGTGTGAACGATCCCTTATAGGAGTGAATGTTCCTCGGCCAATAACGGTCGAGTCGGATCGAAGATATCTGCCGCGCCAGTTTCGAAAAAGGCGCGCCCTCTCAGCAAATGATGCTCCTATGTATAGGATCCGAAAGTGCAGCTGCGTATACTTTGTGAATAGGGAAAAATGATACGGTTTAAAAGTGACGCCGTGTAAATAGAAGCAACAACACGCGTTGTCGCTTGATTCGTGAGATATTCAGGGTATGAATACAATGTAACTCGATATTCAAAATTTTATTTCCATTATACATAATGATGAAAATTCGATAAATTCTGGTCAAGTAATATGGAGTACAAATAACGATTGGTATTCAATGAAATTAAATAATATCGGAAGGCACTGATATCCTTCCATTATTCATTGATAACTTTTGTAAAAATAGTAGAATAAAAATATTCATATGACGTCAGGTATACGGAAATATCGGTGCACAAATGTTAATTCAACGGTGAATATATCATCACATGAAAATATACATGCATCGTAACACTTTAACGCAAATATTGTAATAAGATAGCTTTAGCATACCATCGAAGAGCCAATGCTATTGGCCCAATGGCGAGTCTCCCCTGCGATAAGCAATACGTCTGCGTATATTTAAAAGTTCGATCGCGAGTTTAGAACAAAGATGTAGGTCAACTTGCGTTGTTACACGCGTATTCAGCATAATTAATCGACTTGCACGAGTCGGTTCAAACACATCGTACTAAAATCATGACGATAATTATCGCGCGTAAGCATATTTGGCGACTTCACATTAGTTCGTCGGACCACACGCAGTGGAATAACAAGCGTTGCTTACAGAACACCTCTTCGCGCCATTTCTTTTGGCGACGATCGATGGAACGTGCACAAAAGAGATATGCGTTCCATAAAATACGCTGGACACCAAATAAGTACATGCTCACGCTGGATATAGTATCTCTTTCGTTCTATTCTTCGAAACTTCCGTTCGGTTAATTGTTTAATTTGCTTTTTTTCATATATTAGTAGTTACTTAAATCATTCACTGGTTCATTTAAACATGGATACTTGTGGTACACTCACAATAATTTAATATGTATCTATGCAAACAAATTGTCATGTTGGAATAATTTTCTTTATTGATTCTTGTTTCAGTTCATTTGTAATTCTTGTTCGAAATTCTATCTACAGAGTTTGGCGAAGTTTCAAAAAGTACAAGCCGAATACGTAGCATGCAAGAACATTGTCGCAAATTTAGATTGAGCTGCGCGAAAACGGCGAGTCAGTAAAGCGAACATTTTGGGTCAACGTATTTACGCGTTACATTGACATTCTGTTCAGTTTGCAGCATGTGTATACGTCGTTTTATTGTCAATTTACAAAATAAACGGTCAAAGAATTTATACTACATAACCATTGATTAAAGCAACGTCAACCATAGAAGGAAAATTTATAATCGATACTTTTGTACAATTTTATACATTTTCAAAATGAATATGCAATTAATAGCTTAGCTAGTTTTCTCATTAACTTCATTTCTACAAGTAAAATTGAACTTCATTTCAAAATTGCAATATAACAAAAATAATTTAAATATACTGTACTACGATTAAATATATTGTGTCTCTATTTCATGATAATGCAGTCTTGCATTCATATATGTATAAATTAAAAATCACTTTGTCAGTACTATACAATAAACAATTCAACGTCGCTTCTCCTTCTCGCAGCACACTATGTTACACTGTATAAATAATAAAATAAATTTAATTTCCTAATTATATAAATTATACAATTTGATACTGATTCGGTTCTACCTCATTTATATGTCGTAAAAAGAATGTGACTTTTACTTGTTCCACGTGGCGACAAAGCTTCATAGCTAAACTCGTCCGTAGTTTCATGTGTTGCGTTAAAGACGGCAGATTTAATAATAAAAATGCCAATCCATCAATTTCCTGCAAAATAAAATGAATCTGTAAATTAAGTAATTGCTGTGAAATTGTTCATCGAAAAGTATCTCGTATACCATACCTCTTGCTTGACTCTATACGCAATGTCTTTACAATCATTCGTTTTCCTTAAGTATCTAAATACGTCGTCAACGGTCCAGAATAACGGATTCGAATCAAGCTTTCGCGTTTTCGGACGTCGTTGCTTCTGTTGCATCCGCACGTATTCGGCATCTGCTTCTGAACAATCAGATTCGATACTTGTGTCCCAATCTCGTTCTCTTTTGCTTGCCCTAGTGACAGCATTACATTGATTATATTTCGATGAATGTTGTTTGCTGCTCATGCTACTGGGACTTCCTCTGTCTTTCGTTTTCCTATCGTTAAACGAGCTTCCAGAATCTTCTGAAGCGTTACTCGAAGGAGGTTCAGTTTTAAACTCGTCGGACTTTTCTTCTTTCTCTAAGCCTTTCTGAATCATGATGTCTATTTCAGAGAGTTGTGGTCGTTGACAATCCTCGAGGGACACTTCGAGTCCTGATACGTGTTTCGCTAAGTCCAGTGACATAAATGGCATCTCCTCTTCATGATCGAAATCGTCATGCGCCTCTTTTTCCCTATTTGCCCATCTACCTCGTCTTCGCTTCCTTCTACCACCCCACGGCTTTGGCTTCTGTACCATGATACTGGTGTAACCTTTTGGTTTTCCTCTTCTTCCGGTACCCACTGAGGCCGCTGAAGTAAAAACGTATTTGCTACTAGTTGTAATTATAACAGAAGAAAATAGTACGGTAATATGAAGAATACTTACTGAATTTTGCTTTGGACGTCTTGTGACATTTATCAGGACACTCATTTTCAGGTACATGTAAGGGACCAAAGAGATTCGGGCACACCATTAATTTTTTACAAATATTTCTGCAAAAATCAGCCACCATGTCTCCAGACGTTACAACAGCAACACTTGCACGATACGTGTTGTTTTTATGTTTTGCCTTTAAAACTTCTAAGTGGTAACCAGGGTCTGGTTTCGAATCACACTGCAGTACTTTCAATATGCGGGCACTTCTATACCCAACGGATACGATCATTGATAAAACTTCTCTCATAACTAAAATTACAGGACCGGGGCCCACTGCTTTTGGCAGAGTGGCCAATTTTCCTTTGGAAATCATTGGTCCCGTGAAACAACGGTAATTGAAATATATCTTTGGACACCACAACGAAGATCGTGGCTCGGATATCGGTATATCCAGAACGCCGTTCTTTTTCTCCTCCTTGACAGGTGTGTGTAACTTTTTACAAACCTCTGCATAGTTTTTCGGTGGCTTCAGTGGATAGTGATTAGATTCACACCATCCAACAGGGAATATTTTTAGGGAATGCATATCAACGATATTCTCTGGCCTTGTGTTATCATAATTGTCTAACTTTAACCACAAGAGATTGTCAACGATTTTTGCAATATACGCAGCACATATGATGTTTTCGTTTCCTGGTTCAACTGCTTCTAGTCGCATACCAGATTCGAAACCTGCATCTGCAGCACTTTGTCTTTCAAAGAATAGTGTCTCTTCTGCAGCGGTTGCTTGAGTCTCTTTTAGATATTCGTCCCAATCAAATTCTTCCCCCTTTGGAATCCAGCCTTTTGGCAATGCAACTCTGTAGAAAATAAACCATTAGTTATGTAAAAACTATTGTAGTACGTTATTTAAGACAGTATATTATATTTACTTAATGTTATTCTTCTTTGCCCATCCAACTGGAAATATGTATGGATGTTCTGCAGTGCAGAGCCAAGTATTCTTTTCTGTACTATTGTACGTACATGTTTCCATATCAGTCGCATTTGCAGATGGATCATATACATCAATTTGTACAAGGAAATAAATGCCATCAAATACTTTTATGACAGTAGCTGGACATATATTCATTTGATCACTTGGACTTAAAGCTTCCAGTTTCATGCCAATTTTAAATCCATGCTTCGGGTGTTCTATACTATTATGGAACAGTTCATCCGGTAGATCATTGCCTTTTGGTATATTTTCTAACAAGTCCTTCCATTCTTCATATGTATGCATTTCTACAATAGAACTGGGTGGTTCTAAGAACCAAGTGGAGTCTGACTTAGCCGTAAATCCATACGGATGAAGATGTTCTGATGTACAGAACATCCAGAAATCTTTACACGACGAACCAGGTGTGTCATATCTCAGTAGAAGACGTCCTCCTACATTCTCTATGATCTGAAAAGCAGAGCAAAACATTAGCTTACTGACAAAAGAAATCCTAAATAACAAATTAAAAATTCTTTGTTGATTCTCACCGTAGCTACCCATAATTTATAAGGATGTAGGGTATCGCTAACTTCAACCTTCATGCCTTGTTTAATTCTCTCTGTCATGCTGAGACCATCCTGTACAGATAATAATGAATTCAAAGTGAATGACTGGAAGTCAGAAGTTTTTGTTACAAAGTTCTTTCTTTACGTTTACAACTTACCCCTGATAACATTTCTGATGGAACAGTCCTGGCTGTTGCTAAAAACTCAATCAATTTCTCTACAGATTCTGGAGACCTCTGAAGTACAATATCGGGAGGTTCCAATTTTTTATTGTTCTTCATACACCATCCAAGTTCATGAGCAGCTTCTTTGGTAAGATTAAACCAGAATTCCAAGGACCTATCATCCCCACCAAAGTATCGTAATCGTAGCAGAGGTCCACATGCCATGACAATGGAAGCCACCCAAAATTTAATATTTTTCTCATCTGTATTCTTTGAAAGTGGTACTTCAAGTGACATGCCAATCTCAATACCACTTTGTAGTGTGAGTTCCACATGTGGGAACATAATTTGTGGAACTTCAACACTTTCTGTAGCATCCAAATAATCTTGCCAGAAGAATCCATATTCTGTAACATAAATTTCCACTTTAAATTTGTTGGAATACAATTGTTCTGGTACAAAATAAGTAATGAACTTTTATGTTATGAAATTTAAAAATTTAATTTCATTCAAAATTTATTTTATAATTTGAATTATTTTTATTTATTTCGTAGTAATCGACAGATAAAATATAAACAACGATTCATTTAAAACAATCGTGTGTAATGTTTTTCAAGATTGCATTGATAAGTATAATTACAGAAAGATTGCAATGAATCGTTATTATCACGACAGCGATCAACAAAATGAAATAAATTCTTTTGCGCATCTAATTAACAATTACACTCAAACATTCTAGTAACCCACATATACATTGTATTAATCAAAATAAAAAAGCTCATCAAACACCTTTACAATGGAATCCCGAACCAACAGTCAGCGTGCCGAGTTCAAAAACTTAAAAGGTTACCGAATAATAGAAATCGTCAATTTTACCGCAAACAAACGTCACCGTTATATAATAAAAATCCCGCGAACAATCACTGCAAATTAATCGTGGACAGGACTATCAATTTGATCTTACCTCCTTCTTGTACTTTCTCTTGCGTAAAGCCCTCGCAATGTTCCATGGTTTCGTTATAATATTATAAAGCCTGTACATAAATACATCGGAATCAATTCAGATTCTTCGTTAATCAGTAACGAAACGAACGCGTTATCTATCGACGTTGAGTGCATTCAATGAATCGTAAAAAATTCTACGACCTACCTTATCCCGTTCCGTACTTATTTTTCGTAATTTCCGTGATGCTTGTTTTAATGAAAAATAATATGTATCGTGAATCGTAGCTGCCCGTGCCGCTCTATACTAGCCTACCGTGCGTGTCTTCGTTTTTCTCTTTCTGCCTGTCTCACTCGTGCGGCACGCTTGGCGCACTCGTCCCGAATATCAGAGCTACCTACATCGAATTGAGCAACATTTTGAATTACCTTCGGTCATATGTATTTCATGAAACGACCACTATCCGTCCTCTGTTCCATACACCAAGATTTTAACCCTTTTCTATTGTATCGCAGAACTTCAAGACTTTCCTGCGAGGATCACACTCATCGTCTATTCCGCTTTCCGCGTGCACAGAAGTTTATGATCTTTTGCGACCGTTACATTTATTGTTCCACCTATTCCTTCGCGTCAATGGATCGGAATGCAGAATTAATAATAATTTAACAACCCTTTGGACGCCGAAATTCGAATCATTAAGGTACGTCGCGTACGGAATTCCCGTGATTCCGTTTGAAAATCATATTTGACGAACGCCCATAGGCGTTTCACGTTTGTAAGGAGTATCGAGAAATTAAGAATACTTAGTAAGAGGTAACTAAGGAGAAATTAATTTATTAATTTAATCGGAAATTGAGAAGAAGACAGTGACTGTGATATAAAATTTATAAAACAATTTTTTTAAATTTATGTCAATTTAGGATACTTTACGATTAACATTATGCTATTTCACATCTTCGATTGATATTATTGTATTTAAGCTATTTGTAACTCAACTCAATATATGTCTTATTGTATTATTATTAGATATATGAAAGTAGTTATTTTATAATTCATAGTTCTTACGAGACAGAACAATAGTGCAAAGTTCTAAGGGGTTCTAAGGTTTAGTTCGACATATTATACAATATTATGCACGGTGAGCAATGAAAGTATTCGAACAATAGGGGACTTAAAGATCGACTAGACATAAAAATTGTACATTAAATATCTATAAATTTGGAATAAATGAAACTATAGGTGCAAAAATGATAAAATATTTAATATAACAATAGAAGAATACTTATGTTGCTCGCTCTAGGTGAAACAGAAATATATGTATATTAACGAGTCGTGTATATACTCGTTACAAAATCGATAGACATTGCTGGAACACATTTTTTGTTTCACTTTCACACACGCGTCACTCACATGCCAATATGTTGCCCGACGTGTACCATTAATATAATAATAATAAAATATATATTTCATGACATAGGGATTCGAAGTGTTTTATACGTTTTAAAAAGTAACAGAAACATGCCGGGTGATGAGCGACGTTCTTGAGGCGAACGCCACGTTTAAAATAGACAAGACGATGCGAAAATAAATTCTACGGAAGATGATAAGTGCTTATGGAGTTTTCCAACATCATAGAAATAGGATAAACTTAATTAAATCGAGATTGCAAAAACGATCGAATGGTGTTATATACAACTGCTGTTACCAATAGAGGAAAGCCAAGACATGGTGACCAGATAATCGTTTTATCTTCTGATTTCGTTACAGCAAAAATATCTTCTCTCAAATAATGATAAAGCTTAAATAATATAGAATGAATAATTTAAGGTTGCTTTAAGAATAGGAGTACATCACCTGCAATGTGATCAAAGAAGTATATACATATATATATACATATATACACTTATCTTTCTCGATGTTTTCGATACTGTTAGCAGACGACACACGTGTTCCTGGTTGCAGTTGTAAATAACTGTAAATCAGGGAGGATTATTTCTTTTATTCTAAATGCATTTGACAGTATGATACGTACTTGTATCGTGTGATATATTTTGAATCATGTTGTTTCTACTGCGAGGAAGCACATCCCGTTGTCTCGGGAAAGTTTTCAGTAAAGTTAAGTCGTTTGAATTCTGTCTTCCGTTGTTACTTAACCTCAATGGACGATCTCCACCAATTTGTAGTAAGGTGTTCAGCTCAGAAGCGGGTTTATACGTGTCCAATGAAAATGTTAAAAAGTACCTGGATTATCTTATGTGTACGTATAAAAATGGGTATGACAAAAGTTCGAATGTCAGTGACATTCTGAAAATAGAAACATTGCCAGATTTATTGAATAAAAAGCTAAAGATTCTGGAAAACATACAGAGCTTGAATGATATTGGTAAGTTCAGTACCAATTGGGACACAAAGTAATGGAACTGCTTTTCTCTGAATTAGTTCTTTATTTTACGGACATAATAAAAGTTGTCTAGATAAGATGATTCTTCTGGCTGTGATGTCTATACATTGGTGAAGAAGATCGTAGGGTAACATACAATGCAATATTCAATTTGCCTACAATTTTGACATTTTTTTCTGCTACTATTGTATTGATTAATTTATTTTGCTTTACTTGGAGCACATTATGCTTTTCAGGTAAATTATCAAAAATCAAGTTCTTCCAAGAAAACAGAGAGTGATCTCAAATTCTGTGAGGTAACACTTCATGATTCCATTACTTTGTAGCCCAATGGAGCATTTTCATTAGTATAGATGCGATAAAGAAATCATTTTTAGTTACCAATGATGAAGAAATGAAGAAACTTGCTAAAGAAGAGAATGTATTGTACATACAACAACTGCAGGATATTGATAAAAAAATACTAGATGAAATTTTGGAAAAGATGGGTGCAGAACATTTTGAGGATATTATTATTGAAATAATACCAGGAGTGGGTGGGCAAGAGGCAATGCTATTTGCTCAGGAATTAATGGATATGTATATGGGATATCTGAATTACTTGGGACTAGATTGTGAGATAGTGGAGATAAAACGTAACGAACTAGACGGTTTGAGGAAGGTTACTATAGCTGTATCGAGCACCAAAGCTTTTGACAAATTAAGGTATGAAGCTGGCGTGCACAGGGTACAACGAAATCCGTCAACAGAGAAGTCTGGTCGAATACATACAAGTACAGCTGCAGTGTCGATTCTACCAGCACCTAGGAATATAGATATTACACTGGATGACAAAGACTTGAAGATAGAAACGAAAAGAGCGTCTGGAGCAGGTGGCCAGCATGTAAACACAACTGATTCCGCAGTTCGAGTAACCCATATCCCTACTGGTATAAGCATATCTTGTCAGTCGGGCAGGTCTCAGATAAAGAATAAAACTTGGGCATTGATGAGATTGAAAAGCACGTTGTACGAACAAGAGTCTCATAAGCAAACTTCATTGATCGTTGAATTGCGCAAGAAGCATCAGGGACTGAAAGACAGAAACGAGAAAATTAGAACATATAATTACTTACAAGAACGTGTGACAGACCATAGAATATCAAACGGCACAATTTACAATTTAAAAGGGTTCATGAAAGGTGGAGCAGGATTGGACAAGCTAGTGGACAGAATCCATCGAGACATGCAGCAGAGGATCTTGCTTGAGGTAATACAGCAGACAGTGATCAAATTGGAGTAGACGGTCGGGTTCAGTCAATATTCGCCACATTTTTTGATAAGAAACGACTTCATTTTACATAGGCAAGCCATTGTACATAGCAAATCTGTAATAAACTCTGTGTAATACAAGTAACATTCATTCGTTTATCGGAATTGAAACTCGCCACCATGTCCCCCCAGGCATAAAAGAGTACCGTCTGTAGTCTCGCTCAGGGAAGCAGACAGCCGCCGTAGTAGAGACTTCAGTTGTTTATTTTGAAAAACATACAACAAGATTATTCATTTCTCTTCCCCGTGTAATCGTTTGGTTTTAACCGCCTGTCCAAAGGCACGCATCCGTGTTAACATCTTGTATAATACATTAATATACAAAATTAATATCCGTAATCTCTATAAATATCAAACGACGACATCGTCTTACATTCGATTAATGTACAAAGCGCAAGAATCTGTGTGAATGTGTCCCCCATAGTATCATGAACGTGCTGCTCGCTCGTTGTATACGGCCCTGCTCTAACCGCCCCTCCCCCTGCCCTCCAATGAAATCTTAACGACCTTATTGCTCCAGAAATTACACCAGTGGCCGCGGTAAGCGAATTAGCCGAACGCGATTTCATCATATCCCGCCGGTTCCGTTCGCCGATTATCCCACGAAACGTAGGTGCGCGCTACCCACGAGCCGCGAATTGACATCCTCGTTTGTGCCACGGCTTAACCTCAGATCTTAAACAAGGAATATGTATTCTGGCCACCGGAAGTGCATCCTCCCACGTGGATCAGTTCTTCTGGCAAGTAGTTGCGCTGGTACTACATTCAACGTCTCTTACTCTGGATGGAAGCGACACAATTACGGTTTATCATATTGTTTTACACTGCTCTTTATGTCGCACAGGGATTGTATAAGAGTCGTCATGAAAGAATGTCCTGAATCAATGGTCGAACCTATTCAGGGTCGATTCTTCGTGGAGTCGATTGAAAACATTGAACGGAACCGAAGAAGCTATAACTGAAGTAATATATCAGTTAAGAGCTGAAAATGCTCACATAATCTAATATTTCTGAACGAGGAATCAACCCCAATGAAGCTCCAGATACACAGCCGTTGAGGAAGCGTGTATTGCTCTGTTATTCTCTTCGGTCTATCGGCTGCTCGACTTAAGGATGCCTTAGAAACTTTTGACCATTTCAATTTCGGATCCAGGTCTTCATCGGAAGATCCTCCTGTCACACTGTTAATCATAAGGAAACGAAATAGGTCTCAACGTGGACAACGCAACGGCCTAACCGTTCATTCGTAATTCGTTCTCCGTTATTTGGAGGAAAATTACTGTCCGTCGTTGCTGGGTCTGAGTGAAGGAACGAATAGAAAGGGGAGAGCAGGGACGTATACGGAGTAGATACCGCATTGAATTTCAGGCAGTAAGGTTGTCTCTTTATGACTAGAGTTCGGCACCGTGTCACGGACGTTCGCTTCGAGTTTCAAGTCTCGAACGCGAGAGAAGCGACGAATTGAATCGATGGACGACCAGAGTCCACCGTTTACCGAGAAATCTATACAGAAAATACTTCGAACCGCCCCCCCCCCCGTCTCGTGGCGCACGACAATAATAACCTCCAAAGTCGCGACGGTCATTCTCTTCGACGGGTGCAGACCCTGCCTGCACCGGAGTATGCACGCGTCAATAGACAGCACCAGGAGCTTGTCCCCGCTGGTATACAGCTTCGCCTACAGATACACTAAGAACACCTTGAAATCGCCGGTAACTATCGAAAGAAAAAACATTGAATACTTCGCAGCAGCGAATCGCCTCGAATTGTACTTCGTCCCGTTTAATAGCTGAATAAAGTTGGCAAAGGTAACTTCCGTCTCCCCGTGAGAGCATCCTATACGACAACTTATACTGGACACGAAGGTCCGATTTCCCGATCATTTACGATTCGGGTACGATCGACGACGTTCCCTTCAGCCGGGAAAATTAATCCTGACCGAAGACGATTCGTCTGAGGAGGACACAGACGGTCAGTAATAGAGTAAGGAGGTAGATATTCGGTCCGACGTTAGGGGCCAATCCGCAGAGGTCTTTGATCTCGCTCTCCCTTATGTGAGTGCGGATGCAAGATTGTGGTTTCTTCCTCCTCAGGGTGGTCAACGCCTTCTGGCACACCAGCGAGTTGTTCTCGTACATAACTTCTTCCGGGAAGACGCTCAACGTAGGGGACACAGTCTCGGTGCACTCCGTGTTCACCACCAACAGAAGCATGTTACTGAAGTCGACAGGCTGGACGATGTACGGCCTCCTGCAGTCCTCGTTTATGTCCGTTGGGATATCGAAGGACTCGAAGGAGACGTTCCGCAGGTACAGATACACCTGAAGAGAAAAACAGACTCGATATTCCTTTGTCTAATAACACATGGAAGAACACCGTTTCTAGATCATTTTTGAGGATGACTACAACACGATATCTATTTGATACCTCTTGGTCGCAAGCTTCCGGTCTCGTTCGATTGATCAGAACCTTCTGGTCGAACATTTTCTCGTCTTTCGGGTCGACCGGCGGCTTCTCGTCGCTCTCTTGATAGTCCTCGCGCATACCGTCTTCCTCGTTCGGGTAAGCGAACGCCTCTGCGTACTCGGACTCCCAAATACCAGCTTTGGCCCAAGCCCAGGCTGTTTGACCCACCAGCCAGGCGACCATCCTCTGTGCATTCCTCCATGGCTGAAGGAAACGAAGCTTCAGAATAGGTCTAGAATAGGTCTGGATTTCAAATTTGTTCGCTTAACCGGGCAAATCATCTCTATTCTCGTTAATACACAAGACACTCTGGGCGAGGTACAACTAAAACTCTTGGTCAGACACCAACGAAATGACCGACACCTTCGTTGCTGAAAATTCCTCATAGAGCCTCACCGTGAGCAAGATATTTCCATCGTTGGTGGTCTGCGTGCTCTTGAAACACACAGCCTGGTAATCGAATATCCGGATCCTTTCGAAAACACCTTCCTTCACCAGGCTGGACATCACCGGTCCCCTCAGTTCACCGAAGAACTTCCCAGCATCGGCCTCGTCCTCTGCCGCGATCACGTAACCGTTGTTGTCGACCAGGTAACAGGCCCACGTCTCCGCGCCACAGTGCGCGTGACAATTTCCGAGTCCCTCGCAGCTGAAGGTTATGTTCTGGAAGAGTCCTTGGAGGGCGGTGTGTTGGAACTGGAAACCGACGACCGCTGCTGGCGCCTTTGTTTTCCGTGTTCCTGAAGAGGGAGGTCTGGGTAATTTTTAACACCGAGAAAGAAACGATCCCATCGAAGTCACTTAGGGTAGCTCACGCGTTTGGTGTCGTATCTTTATCGTTGACCTTGCGATTTTTTGGTAGCAATCGAACGTTGAAGGTTTTAAGAATGTTCTGTTAAATTTCCAACTGAATTTATAATTATTTCTTGAAATTATTAAAATTTTAAATTACGTCTTTCTTATCTTCTATGAGAAAAATTGAAATGCGCGAGTGGACCGGTAGTAACATTGGTCAATACCACATTTCTGTGCTCCGACTTCAACCAACGATTAGAACGGCTTGCATTACATAAAATTACCAATAAAAATGGCACGACTGGCAGTGACCAGGGTGGTGTTGTCGGCACCCTCATCGTCGATCGGCACGGAGAAAACGAAGCTCTCCGATTGGACGTAGTGTTGCTCAACAGCACGCTTGTACCACACCTCGTCTATGGCTCTCGGGTACATCTTGCTGAAATGGTCCTCGGGAATGTTCCCCTCCTCGTCCATCAAGAAGTCCTGCCATCTTGTCAGGCCACTGTGAGTGGCCATGAACGCGAGCGTCACGCCGAATCGTTGTTGGAACTCTTTCCTACAAGAAGTCGAACGTCAGAAACCACCGATCGGAAGCGATACCCCCTGGGTGACAACGGCCAGAGTTTCTTTGCACCGCTAAATATGTATACTGCGCTAGCGCGATACGGCGTAGCTTTGGTTATAACGCGTTTTGCATCTTTGAACGTAATTTTTTTCGAGGAAAGCATTGTAAAGTAACAGCCGCTGCGGTAGAGTTTCCAAAAATGTGTTCAAGGCTACTTTATGTAGGTCGCAGTTGATCTTCCCGGTTTCTGTGGCCCGTGGGTCATTCTTCCTCTTGAAGGCACCTTCACAGTCCTGAAAGACTATCGTCCTATCGGCTCCGCGACCTGATCGCCAATTAAGAATCGCAAACGGAGTAACGGAAGAGTAAAAAAAGAAAGGAAAGAAAAACACAACAAATTACCGGTGTTGGTTAAAGGAAAGAAGGGCCAAAGAATTGTTACATTAAAGACGGGAAATTAATGGGAATCGGTACTAAATTCGAACGAACCGCAAGTAGTGGTATATGGATGGCAGCAAAGAAAGCGAGCACAAAAGAGAAGCGATAACAACGAACGATCGATCGAAATCGTTATAGTCTCTAAAAAGAAAACGTAAGGTGCGATGTGATGGACGTTACCTGGGCAGCAGATTCATCAGCCTAGCTAAAGGTCTGCATGGCGTCAAAATGGTCAGTATTAGTAAAAAGGAACGGGTGCAATATCGTTATCCTGACAGACGGATGAGTAAGAGAACGAAAACGATGAAAAATTGTGCAGAGAACGGAAAACACATACAGACACACAGAAACGAAATGGTCTCACTAGTTTCTGTCGAATGGTATTGCAGTGTGTGGACGTATTAACGGATCTATTTAAGAGTTCAATCGTTTCAATCGTCCTTTAAAAATCTTATTTCTCGTTTGAATTTCACTAATAGATCGATGGATTTTTAAAGCTCGTTACATAAAATTACGTCTTCTCTTGTAATCGATTACTGCCTTTCAAATTCGAATTGTTCCTCGACATTCACAGGCAAAATCTAAATTGACTTTAAATCTTTCGCAAAATGTCATAGAATGAGTTAAAAATAGCACACGTCGTACAATTCTTTACACTCGGTTAAACCTTAATTTTCCGTTTTCATGCTATCTATAGAGAACGTCTCCACATTTTATTTCTATGTATATTTATAAAGGTAATCTAAGTTCTTGTCTTTCCATGAACTGGGTCACGTGACGCATGCAGAACTGTCATTTTACGTCGATGCACAGCGATGCTCACCCTTTCTCTCCGCGCGTTGTGCTGGGATTCGCGAACCATTCGGTTACCTTTGCGTCGAACACAAGACTTAGCAGAAGATCCCTGTCGCAGTAATACGACTCCTTGTCAGCTTTGTATGTTGTCGCTGTTCGAACGAAATCAAAATGTCCGTCACACTCGGTATATATGTTCCGAAAATTGTTAAAGCAATCGTACCGTTGAGCACTTACCCTTTGACTTACGAGGCGTGTCGTTACCGGAACTCGTGACCGAGTTTTCTGGCGGCTGGGATGGCTGTTTCATGTCGTTCCATTTCCAGCGCGGCTGGCGGGTACGCTCCAGAAAGTGTAGGAGCTGAGCCTCGGAGGAATTGAACGACTTTTCGTCCTCGTAATGATACCTAATCGTATAGAAATCTTTTATTTAATGACTGTGGATACTAAAATTTGTATGCTTTGCAAATGACACTTTCAAGGGAAATTTTGTACTTTCATAAAATTTCTATAATATCAGGTTACTAAACTGGATTACGGTTTGTCATACGGATGTTTTTTTAATAATGTTAAATACTGTTCAAATGTAATAACGACCACAGAAACGATTGTCAACGGGTCAGTTTACTTAGCTATTTAAACAGACGAGACCAACAGACTTACTTGCAGTACAACCAATGAGGATGCACCCGCCAGTTCGTACCAGTGAAATAATCAGACACGTTCTTGCCTGGAGCAGAGAAAAGGCTCTCGTTAGAACGATAAAACTAGAATCGATGAAAAAGGGGAACATTTTCTATCGCAGATTCAAGGGAAGGATTCAAGACATTTCTGAAGGGGGACGTTGGCGTTTCGAGGAATAATTTATTTGTCGTTCGATCGTACGTACGTACCACTAACGTGCGAACGATGTATCTCCTCGGTTGCGAACACGCGATGACTTACGGTGTGATCATGTTCCGGCAGACTGACCACCACCGTGAACGGTGTTTTCGGTATTCCCGTGTAATCGTATTTCCTCTTCACTCTACCCACTCGTTTCTTCGTGCACATGAAAACGTACATACATATTTCAAAGTAAGTCCCGACCGACGATGCGCTTCTAAGGTTAGGGTGTCGGAGAAAATACTACGTGAAGTCATGTTATGTCCCGTCAGAGTTCCACTTAGATTGCTCAGCAGAGGGAAAATTGCCCACGGGACACTGACGGAATATCACGAGAAAAACGAAATGTATATACATATATCGACTGGATTGAAAATCATCTTTCTGACTCACTCACGACGATTTCGACGAACAAAATCTACGGGACGCGCAATATCTTCTTGGACACCCCTGGCCAATTAGGAAATTAGTTACCATGTCGTCGTAATGATACTTCGTGTGGAGCGTCACGCTACCGTTCGCCTGATTGACCACGTCGTTACGAAGCTACGAATTATAAATAATCATGTTACCCGTGTACCTAATTTAACTAACGAGGATAAATGGCGCTTCACTAGGATGATCCGTTTACCATAATGATTCCCTCGTCGAACTCCCTTGGTCCTCTGTCCTGATCCATCAGCTCGACCTCCGCCATGTCGACGCTGTTGTACGCCGGCTTGAGGATACCCTGGAACTGTAATTTCATCTTACGGTTAGCTCTTTTCTATTGCTGACCAATATAAATATATAGACAACTGAAGAACTCTTTAGGAGGAGTTGGGGCACTTTGATGCAACAGGGCTCAACGAAACAGCAATAGTATCTCGATATTCATAAACATTTTAAAGTTCATAACATGACCACAAGGTGAGATCGCTTATATGTTACCCTATGGTTATGTTTTTGGACTTTTAAATGTTTACGGATATCAAGGAAACTGCTCCAACTCCTAATATAGTTCTGATTCAACTCGGTTTCAAGCTCATTGAGAGGCTTTGGAATGTATAGGCAACCGATACAAGAAATAGTTTACACGAGGAACGTTACCACTGGTCGGAGGTCGGGATGAATCAGGATGAAACCGTTATTGGTCACGATGAACGCGTATCCATTCACGCCGAGCTGAAAGCGCAAAATTGTGAAATGTATCAAGGGTCAGTCGTTAGGCGATACTTAGCGTAAAAGGAGAAATAGAATGAAGGTTAGATGTGGATTTGCTCACCCGGTGAGGCATCATCAGCTTCTGTATCTCTTCGATCGGGACGTCCGTGCCTGCGACACCGAGGAGATCGGCGATCCGTGTCTGCGCAAAGAAAGATCGTCGCGTTTCAACGAGATTCGTGTCGGGGGTACGCCACGGGGTAGAGTTGTGTCGAAATCAATTTTACGAGTCATCATCATCACCAAGTTTCGCATAACCATAAGCGTATCTACCTTCTCCAATAAACGCTCTATCACAATGAAATTCGTCTAAAGACACACTGTTCTAGTATGAAACAAGAAAAAACAAAAAAGTAATGATATTTACTAAAGAAACGATATAACAATAATCTCTGACGTGTTACGGCTGGACGTATAAAATACTAGCTCAACTACGGTCTCAATAATAATAAAACAATAAGAACAATTAATATCTGACGCAGGCTCTCCTAAGTGTTAATAATTCAAATTACAATTAGCCGCGCCGTTTATCGTTCTGCCGACCCGTTCCTCCTCCGCTGCTAATCCATTAATTAATTACAGAAGAAATATCTTAAATTATTTTGTTCAATAAAAATATGCGTTAATATCATTCGACGCATTATTTCTGTTATTCTAGTAGGATGCTGGTAGACTATCTACTTGGCGAAGAGGCTGTTATATAATATTTTAAACGGTATTTGCACGACAATTCGTCACGTTTTCCACGTCAGATTCGCAGAGGGAGGATCGGTCGTCGGAAACGGCGCCCGACTGAACTCTTCACTCTTTCAACCCAAAAAATTCACATGTTCCAGATGTCTCGGGAACCCGGAGCGGAACCGGAGTTCCACTACGGAACCAAGAGTAACAATAATAATGATAATAATAATGATAATATCAACAGGAGGTATTCGCTGTATCGCAATCCAACAGGCGGGCAGGATTATCCGTGTTTCTACTCGTCTCGTACAGGGCACAGGGTAGACTAAAGTACCTAAACCTACCTAATGATTAAACTAAGTCCAGTACTAGTGTTAGACCAAATTAAGATACCAGAGAGACGAACGTGGACCTAAATGAAACGAAAGATCGCCGCGCGGCCACGGTCTCGCCTACGGGTTCAGAGTCCATGTTTCCAATTTTCATGGAAACTACAAAATTTTATACCCGAAGAGCATCGACAGAAGTCTTTTGGACCATTGCTCCTTGAGTGAAATCATGTTCCAAATTGAAATTTGTAAGTGGCATCTGAATGTCACAAATGTTAAATCACTAAATATTTGTGTGTGTATTTTGAAGTCTTAGAGGTTGATTTTCATCCAGGAATATATCCATATCAGAAGACCGTAGGCGTGGGGACCGTGAGCCGTGCGCGTTAATACAAAAAACTGTTACAGGGGGCTCTATGCATTAGGAACAACGTTGCTTGTGTTTTTGTTTGTTTTTTTTTTGGTTTTTTTTTGCTGCCAACCTCTCTTGTCTCTGTCACCCAGTACGCCTCGTTCACCAGCACCTGCCTTGTGATGTTCTGTGGACAAACAGGAACTTAAAACCAAAGGAGAAAATCGGTTTCTCGTTTTCGCGACGCTCGGATCCTAATCTTACTGACAGACCGGCCGGAGGGGTGGGGTGTAACTTGATACGGTGATCGTGGAATGTATTTATCGATGGATGCATTCGATAACGAGGATTGTTAATTTGAACACGACGATGCGATTTTCGAAAATGTGTTTCTGACCGGGTTGCCTACACAAGGGTTAAGGTTATTTGGCACTGAACACGTATTTCTTTCAGATTTTGGTGACCTTTGCTTCTTGATAAGCCTATAGTCAATACAGGTGCATATAATGTGCGTGTATTTTGTAGGGAGGATTATTAATAAAACGTGGTTAACCTTATAAACGATCATATATTGTTCATGTATTTTGTTGGGAGAATTATTAATAGAACGTGGTTAACGCTATAAACGATGACAGGGGGTAGTATACGATATTCTATTCTCGATGATAAAACTTTTTCAGGACACGTTTTTCTTTTTTTTTATCGAGATACCTGAAGTCACTCGTTGCCTTTCGAAATTACATCAATAACGTGGCGCTTGTTCCTTTGCGATATACTAAAGGTGTATGTCCACTTGTTGCGTATCCCTGTATCGTATCACGGTTGTGTATCAATGTGGGCAGACAAGTGTTGCGTATGAAAATGTATCATACCGTTGATACGATACGAGGATACGCATCTTTAAGGTACATATCCACTTGTTAAAACGTTTCTGTGTCTGTCGAAGCGTCGGTTGTCAAACTCTGTCTCGTTAAAGTGAACATCATTGAATAGATTCGTTTGGTGGTTAACTTTCCCCATACGTTGGTAATCGATCAGTCGTTGTTCCTTACCGCGTTCTCCCGTCGATCGAACACTGGCATGCTGACCGAGGTCATCAGCCTGTACTCCTGAAGATCGCCGTTCTGGTCGTGGGGCTTCTTCTGTTTCCTCACGAACCTACGATCGCGTTCCTCCGCGTTGAACAGTTTCTTCCGTCTGTGGAGTCTGAGAAACCTCTCCTTTTGCTCTTCGCTCTCGCGTTGCTCCCACAGCCAGTCGGTCATTTTCGGATCGGTGATGTCCGCGTAGACTGGGGTCCAGATCGTCGGATGATCAGTACGGCCCAGGACCAATGGACGCGCCATCACGGGCACGTATTTCAGAACCTGGAAAATGACAGTCGATCAATCCTCCGACAAATGTACATTCACAACCAAGAGTCTATGCTCGAACTGTAATAAAAACATAGAATTTCTGCAATTTAAACAAATTTCGATGAATATTAACAGTGTTCTGGAATATTGTAATTTTGCCAGTGGTGTACTACATCGCAAGAATGCGAGCTTGTAATTTTAGCTTGCAATTCGATTTTCGGTGGATCCTACCTCTTCCCTGACTTCGGCCAGAGTACAAAGATGAACGAAGTATCCTCTGTTCGCGCAGGCCATCCACTGTACCTCCCTCACGTCCGCCACCTCACGACCGATCAGATAGGTGAACATTCGTACAGGCATGTCCGCCTTGAACGGCTCGTTGAGATTTTCCTTCCAATTGTACGTCTCGAAGATCTCCTTGTAATTGTACGGTACACCGTCCGTTATCAGCATGATCGCCTGGTTGCACCTCGCTCCCTCGCGTTCGATACGATAGGACTCAAGCAGCTCGAACGCGGTGGTCAACGCCAACGAGAAGTTCGCGATCTTCTCTGTATCTAGATTCGAGATCGCTCTTTTCAGCTCCCTGACGTTCGCTAGATTCGCTTGGACCAGGGTGTCGTTGAAGCACGGCACCACCTGGAATGAAATTTCACGTCAATTAAAAGGAATTCGATCATCGTCACTTATATTACGTATGTTACTACTTCTAGCGTTTTGCGGTATCTCTCGCGAGCGCGTGACTCCGGCACCGTGCACGGAGGGTTAAAGGAACAACTGAAATTCTAAGCCTCGCAAGATTTAGCCCTTTCTTGTTTTTTACACTATCCAGCGAAATGAAATTTCCAAACGATCAAGGGTGAATTACCTCCTTGGTGATGTTTGAGAACGTGATGATGTTAACGAAATCGTTGTTCCCAAGTGTGTCCAGTATATCGTTGACCACGTGTCTGGCGATTTCGCGACGTATACCGGTCATGCTGCCGGACGTGTCGATCAGTATCAATATATCCTTCGGGCTTGACGCAGCCTCGATGTACCAGCTTCTTGTACGACAGTCGAACAGGTCCACTGGTTCCATGTACCAATTCATCGCCGGATATTGCCGCATAAAACCGGTCGCGCTGCCGAAATACTGCCAGGACAGGGACGGGTCTTGCTCGTAGTTGTTGATGAACGTTTTGTCGAGCTCCTCGGACCATTTGATCGCTCTGATCACGTCCGAGGCACGGTCGTAGACGTTAGTCGGCACGTGGACCGCGGACATGTTCAGATTCACCTGGCCGCCGAAATGCGAGCTGTACTTCAGCTCGATCGTGTTGTTCTTCGCGTTTATGAACTCGAACTTCTCCGGCGGATCGACGTCCGGCGCTGATACCGCCGATGTCTCCGCCACGTCCATGATCCTCTGATAGGAAATATACGGTGGAATTAGAAATTGACCGTTAACGATTAGGTATAGCTGCTTCAAAGATATAGCGTTGGCCATAAAACTGATCGACCTTAAACTTTATGTGTTTCGGTAGCCTAATCTTGTCATTCGATAACCTTGAGTTGTAACGGGTAACTCGACCGTCGTTCAAGGCGTACGACGTTAATTTGAGATCGGTTTTTATGGTTTAATGTAATTAAAAAAGTTCTTATAGCGTACTCATTTCAAATTTTTGAAGCAGCATTCAGTTCAGTAACGAAAGCGGAAGGAATTGTTTTTGTTTTTTTTTTTTGTCACGGAACAACATATTGTTATCGGTGTACCTTGATCGCCGATATCTTGGAGTCCATCATCGCCTTGATGTCCTTCGCGATCTCGTGGACCAAGGCGTTGCCATCACGTGGCTTCGCTATCGCTTGCTTGTAGCTCTCCTGGAACTTTTCCACGTTGGTCACGTACTTGCCCAACTGTGACAGCTCGAAACCCAATTTGTGCGCCCATGTTTTCACTCTGCGAGATGGAACAGGTTCCACGTGATTAAAGTCCGTTGGACGAGGGATCGGAGGGGTTAAAGTTTTAAACGGGCATTCTTGAGGGTAACTGAACGGAATACTTTTTTGTACAAGTAATCGACATTCAGTTGCGTTTCGACTGTAGACGGCGACGAATGAAAAATACGATTGGAAGATTTCAAACCATTACAATGCTCTGTACATCGTTTACATATCGCGTACTATACACAAAAGTACAAGAAAATCGGTAATTTTTAAATAATTCAGAAATGAATGGGTTAAGACGAGATCACGAGGAACGAGATCCACGTTTTCCACGCGAAGAGGGAGCTGGCGCATGTCGATGACAGCAACGGTCTCTTTCCAATCGGTAAATAAACCCGATTACGAGGGCAGGTTGAATCAACGGTCGCAGAACGAACGAAACATCTGAACCGAATTCACGAACCGAATTACTATTATCAATCGTTGACTGCCTTATTTTCCCAGGTGAGTGTTTCACTTACGTGTTGTACGATATACCGTCACCACGGTCCGGTGCCACGATCAGGATCAGGATGACGATGACTGGTGGAAAACGGGGCCTCATAACTACCCGTCTTCTTGGCTGACGGCTCTTCTCCGCTGTTTACGCGAGGACACGGTAAACAAAACTGAGGCCGAGAGGAGGCTCGCGACTGACATTAAGGATACTCTCGGCCTTCCGTGATCGTCTTCGTCGTCGTCGTCGTGTGCGCACCGTTCCCGAACTACAGGGGGCAACCAGTTTACCAGAGCTTATCGATCGACGCGCAGCCGCTTGGAGCTTGCGCCTCTGGGGTGTTTCTCTCTCTCTCTCTCTCTCTCTCTCTCTCTCTGTGTCACCCACCACCAGCAACCAACGACCACCATCGTTTCGTGGCCCGACGCCGCGACGCCGCTTACGAAATTGATAGTAATGTTTGTCTCTGAATGTCAGACCGAACGGCGACCGAGGGAACGCGGCCACCTTTGTTATTCCTTGGGGAGGGAGGGTTTTTTTTTCTTTGCTGTTTTTCCTTCTCCTTTCTGGTGTTCTTTGCTGGGTTCGTTGGCTCCGCGGGAGGGTAGGTACGACGCGAAGGGTGGTTCTTTCCCTGCGCTTCGATGATGTTTTCGTACGGGTGGACATTGGTGGATCCGCCAGGGTTGGGAATCATTTCGAGGAGCAGCTCCTGATGGACTGATCGGGCTCACTTTGGATCTTTGGATCGATATAAGGTGGCTCGTCACTCTTTAAGTGTTTCATTTCATTTTCAAGCACAAAACAAACCAAAATACGACCTTATCCGGTGTAAGTTGTACAACAAAAAGCTTCCTAATAAATTTTCCATACAATTCATTTTTTGACGATTTATGACTTAAGAAACGAAATAAAATGTGTCTGGCTACGTACTGCCTTTTCCACTGCGGTAGTGAACGTGTTAATATGTGGGAATCCAATTCACAAAAATTCCGATTTCACTCGAAACGGTTTGCAGGTTTTTTAGGGAAACCTCAATAGAAGCATCAGGCAATTGTTTTTCCTACTTTTTCGTTCTTCAGGGCGAAATTTATCCCTTAAATGTACGTTCTCCTATTTTCCATCTATCTGTCTATCTTGAAAACTATAGTAGATATAGAAAAATTGTTAGAATGAAAATTTAATGGCTTTCTATGGCCTATAAAAGTTGTGCAACGAAATTGTTTAAAAATTTGTTATTTAACTGAGAAAAAAGGATTAAATCTTACCATGAGGTTTTTAGTGGCTGATAGTTTTTGAAGAAAAAAACCGATCTTCCTGAATGTCTCGAACAGGTAATTAAGGATCCATTGGACTTTTGGGACCAGGAGAAGTGGGATCGTTTTCAGTGATCTCTGGAATTGCAAGGTTCAGAATTAGAATAACGAATTAATTAGGACTTTAACTTAATAATAATAATAATATTACAGCATCCAGTAGTATTTTCAACATATCCTTTGGTACACGTCGGAAAGGAGAGTGTTACAGTTTAATCAAACGGCACGAAGAGACGTCCGAATGACCGAGAGCAGAGAGAGGATGGAAGAATATTTTCTAGGGCAAACCCCTCTCGCCCCCATCAACAGACTTCGCGACGCCGGCAAGGAACCGTGTCTCGCGTCGACGGAAGGACATTTCGTCAGGCTTTATATCCTTCTCTGGTTTCTTTTTTCCTTTGGACGCGATTACGCTCCTCAGATGCCTTTGTCCCGCAATAAAGGGGAGGGTTTCGCTCGTAAGAAAAAGCCAGTTCGATCCATGCAGCTCCGATACATATTAAAACCTATCCCCGATTGGGTCACTGATTTTCATCGAATTGGACCTAAAGATTGTAAATTTACCGACTTTTTCAATTACCGGTAATTCATTAAAAATTAAAATAATTAAAATAATTTTTTTTAATTGAAATAATTAATACAAAAAGTGGCGAATTACCGGTAAAACCGGCGGATCAGCTTTCGCGAACGGAGCTTCGCTTATAAAATTTAAACGATAAATACACATATTCTTATCTACCTTAATTTCAAGATGCTGCTACTCAAAGGCTTGGAGCATCCTTCTTTTTCTTTCTTTAGATATACGACGTTCATAGACCAAATTCGTAATTGTATACACATATTATATTTTATTAATCTTCCGTAAGTCGTTATGAGCTTGAAAATGAAAAGTGTACATGAAAATGATATTATTGAATTCGGTAAAGAAGATTCCAGATATTTGCAGCGACGAGCCCGAAGAGATGTGGAGACTCTCCAAGACTCTCCTCGTCAAAGACTTGTATAAATAGTTTTTCAGAGGGTTGAAGACATCGTACGATTTTTAGTAAAAAAAAAAAAAGTTCTTCGATTACAGAGCCGATGCTTCAAAGTTTCGAGTGGTGGAGGTGTTCTTTTATTATTTTTGTTTCCGAGGAGGCGAGAACTCTCGCGACCCAGGACTACGGACGTTATCAGAACAATGGCCCCGGGGAAAGAATGGAAGCTTGTCACCGGAGTAGGACGCGTCTTCTGGGTAAAAGCGAGGTGGGAGGGAAAAGTTTATAGTTCCATAAACAAGATCACTCTGGGAACTTCGTAAGATTCCTCGTACGTTTTGCGCGCCGTGGATGAGCCTTCAGAAGTGGATCGGCGAAGGCATGCACTTTCCAGGCGCTATACTCCACTCTAAATTAGCAGTTTCTCTCTTAAAAATAAAAAATAACAAGAATGATCTTTATGCAGCGCGCTTACAGACTCTTTGTAAATTTCATTCTCTTTCGACACTCATCGAATTTCTTCATACGCCATTCTAACCTCTGAACAAGGGCTCGGTACATAAAAACAGTGAAATGCAACTTAGGGAAATCTGCTGAGTTAATTACCATTTTGTGAAACTAAAGGTAAATTTTGGTACTGTAACCCGATACGAAATTTCATACCGACAGTAATTTCTGATCTAATTGTTCTCAGCAGCGTGTTTCATGGGATACAGTCGGTATCGACGGGACGGACATACTCGTTCAGAACAGTCATACAAGCGTCCATAAAATCCTAGTGACCACAACGGCGAACAAAAGGGAAGATACAGCCAGTCCTGATGCTCTGCCGCAATCCTCTATCTCGTACTCCAGAGGATGCTCCGTGAAACAGCCCTCCAGGCGTCTCCTTTTAAGATCGTTCAGCGGCATTTTATGACAGGGCGCGTCCTCGGTGCCGTTCGTGTACTCCAACGGCGAAATGATCACGGGCGTCACCTCTAATCTCTTGTAGCAAGTGGCGTACATCGCGTCGACGACGACCAGCAGGAGATTCGTGTGCGGCACCTGTCGAATAAAATCGGTCAATACGGTATTACAATTGCGTATACCTTGCCGTTTCTGTTGCCGTCCAAGGGTTAACCGTCATATTTTTGTCTTTTCAACGACACGTACTCTACGAGCATAGAACGGTCTAGAGCAGTAGTCCGGATGATTGGTGATACCCTCGCCGGCGATCGTGTAATTCATCATGTAGAGGGTCCGTTTCTGATCGCAGGGGTAGTGATAGAGGTAGGGACGGGGCGGCGGCGGCGGGTCCGGTGCGTCCTCGTCGAAGTGAACTTTCGCCAGGCTGGCCGGCAAGTTTACGAACTGGGTCGTGAACCACGTCACACGCAGCAGAAACCAGAGCAACAGTTTCCAGGCGTGCATCAGCGGGTCCGTCAGTCTGCTGGCCGCATCCTCGATACGCTGCAAAGCAGTTTTTGTTTCCCCCCCACCACTGGTGAAATGTTTTTGCGCCCCACCCCCTCTGCCTGGGGGTGGGGTGGGAGGGATCGGCTAGTTCCCAGCCGAGTTTCTCTCGTTTTCGCGCGAACTTGCCCCCCCCCCCCAAGTGGCGATAACCTTTTTTCCTCCTTCTACAAACTCTGGGATATTATTAGAAATTCGAAGAACCAAAACTTAGCAGTTCATACGCTTATTTATGTCCGAACAATTGAAAGGTTTTTGTAACTTATAATTTTATGTAAGTGGTAGTGGCTGTGTGAGATTTTGGGAGAATTTTTGTTTTCTTAAGTTAAAGATTCTTCTGTTAGGCTTCAATGAGGTAATACTACCATTCTATATATACTCTATTATAAATATGCACTACCGTTTATAAGTATTCGCCCAAACATCATAAGTACACTTTATCAAAAAAAAGACGGAGTAAGTTTTTCAAAAAAAATTACCTCTACAGCAAAAGCAGAACACCAAGTACAATTCATCGTCGTTTATCGAAACTTCCCAAAGTAATATGTAAGAACGATAAAAGAGTGAAAATTCCTTGTGTGACAGGGCGACTACTTATGAACGTTACTGTAGATTCTCTGGTCGCGCTGATATATGTATGTACGTCGAACGTGTCACAGCCACTTACAACTTCCTCGCACCAAGCCTGATAATCGTAAATCTCCACAGGATTATAGAGGCCTTGGCCGACCATGGAGTTCATAACAGCGCCCTCCTGCGTCCCCATAAATTGTCCGGTGTCGTTGTGCGCCTCCGATATGACCACGTAACCGTTTTGATCGAGCAAGTAACAATCGATCCATCCGTGGGCGCAGTTCACGGACGAGTTGCTCGGTCCCGACGTCAACTCAATGAATCTGTTATAGAGATCCGTCATGTGCATTTGAAAGCCGATCACCGCCGCCGGCGCCGTTTTACCACCGTCTTTCGGGAATATTCCGATCGAGACCGTCACTATCGCGTCGGCGCCTGCCTCCCAGGGAACTGCAATTTATCATTATTACTGTTCGCCATAACCTCTACCACAATTAACACGAAAATTTCTCTTCGTGGTCACTTTTGTAGTCGTAATTTTCAAATTCACCTGGAATCACTTGTGACCCTTATCGATAATTTCTGACAATTTTAGAGCTACGGTAAATCATCGATGAGTGTCCGAAGGCACCTCCGCTCGGTGCCGAGGAGCCGTCGAACACTAATCGATGATTTACTGCAGTACTGTCCACTTGGCTTTCGGGAAGGGTCTGTATTGGATTTTTAGATAGAAGGGCTAGTATTAATCGTGAGTGACGAAGAGTGTATACCTGTCACGGATATACTGTTAGGGTCCAGAATATTCTGGAAAATGGCGCCCTTGTACCAGGGCTCGTTGACAGCCCTCCTGTGAAGATCGCCGAAGACGATACCGTCGAACTCCGCGGGCACCTTGTTCGTGTCTAAATGATGCCACCTGGTCAACCCGCTCTGTGTAGCGACGAATCTCAAGAATATCCCATAAACCTCGGCCAGATGCCGGGCACGGGGATCCTCGAATACGAAATCATCGTCGAAGCTGGCATTCGTGGCCTTCGCGTCGAACACCAGTAATTGCATCAGCTCCTTGTTACAGTAGTAATCCTCGCGGGATAATGTTCTTCGGCCGCAGTTCGGCAGCTCGTCCGTATCATTATGGTATACAGAATAGGTTTCGTATTGTTCGGACCATCGCCAGCGTGGCTTGTTCATCAGGTCCAAGAAGTGTTTCAGTTCCTCCTCGGGATTGTCGAACTCGTGACCCTCGAGATAATGGAACCGACAATAGACCCAGCCGGGATGCACACGCCAGTTGTTGCCCACGAAGAAGTCGGTGATGTCGATGCCCAAGTTCTGGTTCCTGCGTATCTCGTCACCGACCTTGAAGACGAAGAAGATACATGATTACGCTACGGAACACCTTGGATCAAGGGACTCATCTTTGGTCCATTAGTGTTTGGACCAAGTGTTTACAGCTCGCAAGGATTACCTTGATCCACGTCGTCCCGTAATTCGGTATGGCGACCGCGAGACCGAACGGCGTGCCCGGCAACGGCGCGTAGAAGTAGTCCCGTCTCTCGAGTGTGACACGACGATTGTCGTCGTAGTGCAGCTTCACCGGCACGCCTTTTGTGCTGCCCCATTTGTGATCCACCAACGCCGCGCGTAGCTCGAGCACCTCTGGCCCGGGGTTCCTGCACTCGTTTTCAATATAAAACTTAACCTCAACACGATCGCCACGAAAGTAATATCGGCGGGCTGTTGCTCGCCCCGACGCTTGGTCACAGACTTCGAATATTTATCATCGGGAAAAGTTACGGGAACCGAGATGAATCCAGCTTTGGGGACTTCACACTACCTTATTGGACTTGGCGAGATTGGTTACGAAATTAAGGAACACGTGTACTGGTGATAATCTTTTGACGAAATAACTGGAACGACTATGGAACTAGAAGACCATGATTGAAGGACGAAAACTGTTCTAGGTTCGAGAATGACCCAAAGGCCATTACAGGGTTGAGAATATTACAGGCAAAACGATGCCTGGAACAATTTCGAAGTGGAAGCTCTGTCTTCCCACAGATTAACGATAATATTATAAACGGTGGACTATCAGTACGAGTAGACTCTTGATATATGGCCGTGGCCGGAGCTGTAGGAGAGGAAAATTCTCGGAAACGGCGATATATCGAGAACCTTTTCCATGATAAGGCCAGGATTCCATTGGTAATTCAGTAATCAAAAGTATTCCATATGTCAAGAGTCCACTATATATATTTACGATGCAATGAGGGACAAATTGAAATCGATCGTTTCTGCCCAACAATGGCTCCTATCGTTCAACGGATTAACTCGTCAATGCTGTTTCACCCCGCAACCCAGTTATCTTTTTCCAGCGATTCTTGTCTGAACTACCTTGGTCCAAGACCATCGTCCAGGATCTCCACTTCGGTCAGATCGATGCTGTTGTAGTTCAGCTTCAGTTTGCCACGGTATACCGGCCGTAGGTCCGGGTGCAGTATCACGTAGCCGTTGTTCGACACGATGAAGGCGTACCCGTTCACGCCGAGCTTGTACGGCAACGTGAGCTTTCGTATGTCGTCGATCGGCACATCCGTGCCGGCCACGCCCAACAGATTCGCTGTTCTCGTCTGATTGCTCCGTGCGTTCCCTTTACGGTCGAACACCGGCGTGCTGACGGAGGTTAGAAGCCTGTACTCCTGCCAGGCGGTCGAGTTCAGTGTCGATGGATCCTGGCGAACGTCCTCGTCCTTGTGGATCTGTCGAATCGGTGTCTAGATTAGGACGAATCTCGAAGAATCGAGCCTCGATACACGGGGAACACTGAATGTGTACCTTCACAATTATGCGCATAAAATGTCCCTACAACGTGTGATTCTTTGCCGCGGGAATTGTTGATTACTTAAATCTATATACCGGGTGTTCTAAATAAATATTTCTATTCTATGTGTTTGTCCTATAATACTATAGTTTATTACGATAGTTATTACTCTATACCTTCAATTTTCACAGTTCAAACATTTCCCCCGAATGTAGTCAAATGAACTTAAGATTGACACAGAACACCCGATATGAAGACAGTGTACAATTGACACGTTCAAGGCCCCAGTATGTACTACCGCGTGGAAACTAACACCGTAGAGCCAGTGTCAGAAGTCACTCGAATAGACAGAGATAAATTAACACATCTTTTCGACATGAACACGTTCCTCGCTGCAATTTGCATCTTACGCAACGTCGAACGCGTCGACGGTGGACGTTTGAACGGATCAACGATACACACGGAGCGTCGTCTTCTATACTTTTGCGTCTCGCCCAGGCCAGTGTTAGAGGGTGCACACGCGCATCAAAACAGGACAATGGTATTCGACATTAATAATGCAGCGGCAAGGGGGATATTACAAAGTCCAAGGAGCCGTCGAAAAACTTTTCCGAGCGTGTTGCAGTCTCGTTTGCCGTTTCATCGAGACTCACAATTTTGTGGCGAACATTCGGCACCGGATTCTTACTGTTCCATCGTTCGTTCTGACCACGATCTGTACGCAATCGTACAAAAACAATTCTCGCATGCGGGATCAACCGTGAAAAACTATCGAGGGTCCACTGTGCTTCACTGTGAACCCAACAGGAAAAGTAAATAAATCGTTCTACGCTACAAAACTGACAGAACGATGAACGAACAAAAACCTATCGTGGATTAACACTTAAACCGAAACTTCCCGGTGTTCTTGAGTCGTAAGAAATCAGGATTTTTTTACCATTATCAGGGTTACCATAAAGTAATGTTGTTTTTTTTCTAAATATGCATTACTGCAAATAGTCCTCAATGGTTTCGATAACCCTTGCCTAGGTTATGCCAGTCTACAAAAAACCTCCAAGCTCACAAGTTTAGAAAGTTGAAAAGACATTGCATCGCAAAATATGATATTACGTCCCGGTATATGTAACAAATTATTGCACCTAATAATAGTAATTTGTTACATATTCTCCGTCGTCGTCGGCAATGAACAACGATTCTATTCATAGAAACATATATCTGTTATTTACTTAATTCACAATGATCGACTTAATGATTTTTAGTCCACGTTTCTGTTTCGGTTTAAATGTTGTCAAACAAATGAAAAAAAATCTACTATCTACTGATTATTTTGTGCAGGATTTGCCCAGACATTCGTCAACAGGAGGCGCAACACTGTACAGCCAGCTAAGTTGCTAGGGTAAACAGCGGATTGGTGAATAACGACAAAGACAGGTCTGAAGCAACTAAGGGGGTGGCAGTTGCTTGCTTTTGCTAGCTTTGAACCTGCTGTATGTAGATCTCGTCTGCATTCATTCGCACGCCAAGACGTTTCCCTTTCAGATATTTCTCAAGCCGGGACCGTTGCTCCTGGTGCTGCATCACCAGCCACAGCCAAGTGGCGAGCGCAGGATTCTAATGGAATTACAAGTAGAACATTTACGGAAACAGTGAAACTGAAATTCACTACATTGTCTACATGTTTCTCTATGTGTCTGTGTCTGTATGTGTGTATAGTAACGCAAGAATGGGGCTGACTGAATAAATCATTTTCAGGTTATGGATCTTGAGAAAATATTCAGAATATGTAATAACGGCGATTGCTTCTTTCGCAGACCGGTGATATTTAAGAGCCATACAAATTTTGCAATTTAGCCGAACCAATTCGTAACTCGATAGACGTTTGTTCACGGATACAATTATTCGCAACGAATCAGCGGATCGTTAGTATATTATGTATCTGGTAACAAGACTCTCACGGACGTTCCTGTCACGATATCGCGAACGTATCGTTCCTCCTCAACTGCATTTTTCACGGATCTGTAACTCGAGACATACTTGGCTTCCCAAGCGGAATTCATTTTACTGAATTTAGGAAAAAAGTATTAGGACTTTTAACTCGCACGCGATGCGATGCTTCGTCCTTGATTAATCCGGACTTCTAAAAAAAAAAAGTGGAATACCACCTGGAGTATAATTGTGTACGGCAGGGAAATAGAATGAAAAATGTCAAAATAAATTGCACATGTAGACCGCGTTTTTGTGAAACGAAATAAGTCCGAACTAAGTCTTACCGTGATGTCTGCGTAAGCGTGGGTCCATACGACAGGATGCACCAGGTCCTGAAGGACCATGGGTCTGGCCACCACAGGAATATACTTCAACACCTGTTCACGAACCTCCTCTTGCGTGTGGACGTGCGTGTAGTAGCCCCGATTGAGACAGGCCATCCATTGAATCTCCCTGACCTTCGTCACCTCTTTGCCCAAGAGATAAGTGAACACTCGCACGGGGACGTGGGTGTTGTTGTCCTGCCAGTTCCATGTTTTGAACACCTGAACAGACAGAATCTAGCGTATTACAATTTCTGTTGAAAGTACAGTATAAAGAATACCGCAGGGTGTTTTAACATTTCCATGTATGAAGAGGATAATTTGATCTTTTACGGATCAGGTATATGGGTACCGGTCTTATAGACCCATCAAAGAAATACTAGGTATGTAAACCTACGTTTCTAGGTTTATACTTGAGTACTAAGCGGCACTAAAGGTTTTAAAGTCCACCGAAATAACTGCAGCCTGCATAAATTTCCTCGTTCGACGTGGTGAGTCAAGACCAACGTTTAAGGGCAACGTTATTTTTCATAAACGATCCAATCTTTCCAGACCACTGATCCCAATCTCCTCATTATCTCAGTCCCACTTCTACTCATTATCCCATTTCCAGAACCCTTATTCCTCTTCCCCGCCGCCAGCACGATAGGAATAAGCGGACAGTTCTCAGAGAAAGAGAGAGAGAGGATTCCATGACCGTTTTGTCCATCGTCTAACCGAGCCCACGTAACCGCTCTAGCGTAATCGTGATGCAACGGTTATGTCGCGGCGGTGTTATCATCGATGATGCGTTTTCTGTGGCGCAGAGGGGATGAGATAAGGAAACGGCGCGAGGGAGAGGAAGAGAAAGAGGCGTCGAGGGCGCCTAGTAGGAGGAGAATGGAACGTTCTGGAAAGTGCAGAGATGGCAGAGAAGAAGGAGAGGAAGAGGGAAAAGCAGGGGAAGAAAGAGGGAAAGACCGCGAGACAGAGACCGCCACGATCCGCCCGGCTCGAGTGGGATCTCATAAAACCTGAAGAGCTGCTCGTCGACGAGGACAGAGCTGGAAACGCGACCTTTTTTGCACCACCGGCCAGCGAAAATCCGCGGGAAGAGCCACTTAATTTTAGTGTGGCTTTACGAGCGTGAAGCGGTAGGTGTACGTTGTTATGTAGAAAATAGTGAATCAGTGGTCAAAGGATCATCCACTGAATTGTCAATCTGACTAGCCGTTCAAGGTTCAACCCTACGTGACCAACACAGGGGTTAGACTTAAAAAAAAATGTATTCACGACCTTCTAGCCAATGAAATTTTTATAAGTGGAAACGAAATTGTTATCAGATTTACTAACTATAACAGAACTACTAAAAGAATGACTAATTTCATTAGGACACAGCACGTTCAGAAATAAAACCCTATTCGATGGAAGTTTTGTTCTCGGTAACGCTTGGGATCTCTTATCCCAGGGGAATGGCTCGATACGAATTGGAAACGAAACGGCTGGGGGAGACGGTTTAATGGGCACCTCGGTCAGATTTCCAGGGACCCCGTCGGTGACCAGCATGATTAGCTGATTGCACGGCGTGTCTGCGCCGCACCCACGCGTCTCCCTGTAATTCTTGAGGAGATTGAACGCCCTGTTGAAGGCCTCCGTGAGATTCGCCAAGCCCTCCGTTTTCACCGTCATTATCGCTTTTTTGAACGTGTCCAAGTTCTCCGGCGTGGCCTGGATCAGCATGTCCTTGAAGCAATCGACCACGTCGTAGGTCTCGTTCGTGTAGCTCAGCACGGTGACGAAATCGTTGTTCGATAGGGTGTCCAGGATTATATTCACCGTGGTCCTCGCTGGAAATAATAAAATAATAATATTAAAGCAATCTACAGGGTGAGGAACCTAAAATAGATCATTATACGCGTCTTAAAACGCTCTACTAGATGGTTCGTAAAACATGTCTTTCCATGTAAGAGAAACAAGTTGACCTTCATATGACCCCTACGCGTTCACCTATAAAAAAACTATTTACATCAATGTATGTGCTCATCGATAGTTCAGTTGTCGAGTTACAAGTGACACTTTCAACAGTGTACTTTAAGTACGCTCACAGAACGAAGGTCAAAGTTATATTTCTGTCTCGACGACTTTTATATTGGGCAGGACGGTGATTCTTCTCGAATACACCACGAGATAGTGTTTCATCGAGCGTTTAATCGTCTAAGTTAACGATATTATCGGTAACAACGAGATGATCGCGATACCCGTGCGAAGCTGCATATCCCATCGACATACTATCTCTCTCCCTCGCCCCTAAACAATGCACGCGTAACCTCAAGTTCGCGACGTACTCCAAGTATGCATTACACAGCGTACAGACGGTGACCGCAACTGTATTCCGGCTGCGATTCTAACACAGCTGCCTCGGATACGCCGAATAGAGCAACAATACCGAGACTAGAGCGAGCTTCAGACGTACACGGAGCGAATCGATTTGCACAGGGTGGAGATAATCGTAGAAAGGATGATAGTGTCTTTCGTAAGGAACACGTTTACAATAAGATTTCTGTTGTGCTCTAGCTAATTATCTGTGGTACAAAAAATAGGTCATTTCGTTAAACAAAATCAAGGTGACCTTGAGATCTCTGAAATGCCTCCACCCACAAAAAAAGTACGTACCTTATAAGATGTACCCCTTGAAGTCATTAAATTCCACGCCGTAAAATTTCCATAAACTGTACTGTTAGGTCATTATTCGAGGTGATCAAGTTAGCTGAGACAGCCTCTATATGTATACGTATAAGTCTAACAACTATGACGCGCCGATAATAATCACCGATAGTCTTTCCCATGCCGGTCATGCTGCCGCTGGTGTCCATCAGGATCACCATGTCCTTGCTACAAGTCGCAGCCTCGATGAACCAGCTGCGTACTCTGCAATCGTAGATATCTGCCTCCTCTTCGTCACCGCCACCCTCGTCGTCCTCTTTTTCCTCCGCCTCATTGTACTCCCCAAGAACCTCGTCGTTCTCCGTGGGATCGGTCCTCCATTGCATTGCGGGATACTGTCTAAGCATACCGGTGACTGAGCCGAAATACTGCCAGGAAAGGGCCGGGTCTGATTCGTAGTTCTGACGGAAGATGTTGTCCAGGATCTCGCTCTTCTTGATGTCCTTGACAACACCTGGTGACAGATCGTAGACGTTGGTCGGTACATGGACCGACGAAAAACTTGTGTTCACTGGGATATTGTAGAAATGCGAGTCCGCTGTCAGCTCCATTTCCCTGTGAACAATTTTTTACATAGTTTTTCGATGTTAGAATATGTCCAATTCGAAAGGATATAATGAATATTATATTCGTATTCCGCGATCACGACGGATGAACCTCGAGAGTCTGTTCTTTTCTTTGGAAACGAGACAAGGGGGGGATTAGGATCGAATACGAGTCTCAATAGACGATCTGCTTTAATATCTTCGAACAGTAGGGACATTCCAGGGTTGGGGAGAACGCTAGACCTAGTTCGTAGGTCAATCGTTCGTCTAGATATCGACGTCAAAGACATTCGAAGCTTCTCAGCCTAATTCCACTCGGATGTCGCAAAATCACCCGTTGACATCGAACCGAATTCCAAAATTTTACCAAACAAATAAAAAGGTTTCTGTTTTTTACTTTCGCTTAATGTACGACAATTTAGGGCTCTGGACATGGTCATTTATATCACAAAATATAATTTTCGATAAACGTGCAAGAGCTGCAGAGGATTGAAAGGTATTTCGAAAGGTAATCGACAATTTCCTTTTAATCAACTGGTAGCACACAGTTTAAACTCAAAACATCCGTCTAGCCTATTCTTCTTTCAAAATGGCGGCAAGGAACAAGGACAGATGTCACTGAAATGGCACATGCTTCTGGTTTCCTTGAAAATAAATATTGATTTCGATGAAACACAGTCGACGTACGTATTGGTACGCCTAATGTCAAAGACCTGTAAACGTCGACGTTTTTCTCCATGTTCTCCGGAAGCTGGGGCGGCTTCTGATTGATCACAGGGCTGTATTTCCCGGACACGTAGGTGAAATTCCCATCTTCCTCGTCGTTCTCGAAGTTCTCGGCGTATTCCTCGGCCCTCATCCGGATGCAGGTCACCGCGTCCATCTTCCGTCTGAGCATCCTGCCGACGTTCTCGCTGATTATGCTCACCAACTCCTCCCCGGACTTATCCTCCACCCGCGTATTCATCGCTTTGTATCTCTGCAATAATTTGAAAAAAAAAAAAAAAGAAAAATACGATGGATAGTCTCTTGTGTCTAACGTTTGACCCGGATACACGTTTTCTTTCGACCAACACCCGGGCAAACGTATTATTAATTTCCTGCTGCGGAAACTCTCATTGTTTCCCGGAACAATAAACGGTAGAAACACATTTCTTTTTCCTCGATAATCGAAACCGCTGTTTTAATATGTTCGTTTCTTTTTTTTTGGGGGGGGGGGGAAGATTCGTCGGAGAATTAATGGAAAAGTTCCGGTTCAAGGAATCGAGGACGCGTGGAAGGAGTAAAGTGGAACAGTCGAAGGTTCTGTTTGAATTTTTTCTTAGAATATGTTAGAATTTTTATTACATTTCGTTTATTCGAATGATTTGGAAGATCAGACTAGGAAGTGCAAGTTTTGAGGAACTTAGAGGATGTTGAGCTTCAATCGAGAATGAGGCGGATGTCACCTGGCCGTATTGTCTGGCTTCGTCGCAGCTTACACCTGGCTTGGTGATCTAACAGCTACGTTTTCGCGCAGTGGTACTGTACTTTATCGTTGGAAAACCTAATTTGATTTTCGAACGGTGTTCAGACGATAGGGTACTGTTCTTTTATTCATCTATTTTAGGGGGTATCCTTGGAAAATACAGTGACTCATGTATTCGTTCATATACTTTTTAAATTACAATTAATTGTACACATTTGTATGCAATTTCTATTTGTGTATCCTTACGATTTTTACTTTCATCGTGCTTTCGTGTTAAATTTCACTTAATTTTGAAACAGCAATTTTGGTGATCCGAAAAATCAGTATATCGCGGTAAACAATTTGGGTCGCGTAATGGTAATAACAGCCTATTGTGTTTACAAATCACGCCTGCTTCTATTAATAAACGATACCCACGATGAACGGCAGCGGCAATGCGACATAATCGCATCTGGAATGCCGTTTTTCTGTTTTTGTATTTAAAAAAAAACATATCTAAACAAGAAGCTCAACAAGTGGGACGATAAGAAAGAAAGATGCAGGGAAGTTCGGTTCGCTGAAACGCGTAGCAGGCGGCATCTGTGCAACGGAAGTCGCGCTTTAAAGCTCCTCTGTATCATCCGAACCGTGGACCGTCCCTTGTGTGATAAATTTGAATTCTGATTTTCGTAAAAATACTTTCACTTCGTTAATCGTGTTCTCTCATAGATGAATAATTATTCGAAAAAAAAATTATCAATAAATCCACTGTTCTCTCACAAGCGATGATTCGGGAAGTGAATTTATCTTAGGTCGATATATGGCGACGTTTGACCTTTTACCACGGGACATTCCCTTTTTTATGAAACTTTCTCCCTCCATTTCTCTATCTACAAAATTCGTTTCGTTATCTTAAATCATGGATTACTTGTTTCGCTCCAAACGTTAAAAATTTATCAAATTCTCAGTCCGATGTGAGTTTCTCAAAATACAATAGCTGGCGCTGAATTTACTTTATGCAAAATTCCTTCCTCCTTCAAAGAACCTTCCTGACACAGGAACGTAATAAAAATTTCATTACGCTCGGCTGAAGTTTATGGTTTATTGTGTTCGCCCGAGTCAGAAGTAACCTCCACGGTAGTCGTATAATTACACAATAATTATAATGATACACACGGAGAAATGTAAAATAGATTAAAGTTAATGGTAAAGCGTCTTGTATTCCGATAAATTCAACGAAGGAAAGACATTTCTGACTCTCAGTCCCAATGGTTAGGTGTCAATTCTACTTTTCTCCAGTCCGTTTCATCTCCTCTCACGCTATGTCCCCCTCTCCTATTCCCTCCGTTAAGTGACAATAATCACGTACGAAGGCGTAACGAAAATAGTTACGGCGATCAGCCGATAACGACGGTGGGAATGAGAGAGAAAGAGAGGGAAATATGGGAAGACAAGACACGCGATCGTTCATGTAGGTGCCGCAACCTCGAATAATTCGTGCCGCGTTCAATACAGCGGCACACGGGCCGAGACGACACGAATCATTTGACGTGACCGTGGAGAACGAAGGAGAATTGAACTTACGCTTAATAGTTCGTCTGGTCGGGCCACCTTCTCCGCGAGTTCCCACAATTCGGCACCCAAGGTCTCTGCCCATCGTGTCATGCTGCAAAAGATATTAACAACGGTCAGTCACTATCCGGCTAAGCTGCATTACCCTAGGAATGTTTAGAACATCTTCAATTGCCGGCTAATTAAGCGAGAAACCCTTATTGGCTGTAATAATGCTCGTGTAATCGAATTCGAAGCTCACCGATAATAATCGATGCCTGAGTGGATCGTTAGAGGTTACACCGAGACCATAAGTTGGCAATACTCCAGGAGAGACTAAATCCAGCGAACGTGGACTGTGTACATAATGGCCTTTAGCCGGGCGAGTAAACAAAAACAATTCCTGTCGATGGAGTTCGCATAATCTCGAATAAAATCGATCGTAATGCTTACAATTCGAAAGTCCGAACGGATCTCTGTTAACATTTCTGTGCAGGTCGCTGCACTGCCGGTACAAATCAATTCGCATGATCGTGAAGCAACTTAACCGTCTTTGGAACAATTTATGTTGTACACTTCATTTTCACAGCATTAGTATCACTCTACTAACAGACTTTGAATTTCACGGAAAGCACAGTAGAGCAATTATTAATATCTCACCTGTTCACAATATAACCTACAACAACAAAAGACAAAACCGAGACGTAGTTTTTCTGTTGATCCCACTTTTGGGGCAAGCAATAAGAGAAAAGCTTGACTAACCAAAGATTTCATGTTAGTGTAGTATGGGCAACAAGACAAACATCCACAGTCTACCAATTCGGTATAACTTTTACTCCCCTGAGTTCTAGTCCACCCGTAGAGTAAAAATATCGAGTCGAGTGAAATATATTTTAACACGAAGAGTCAGTCAGCCGGTTTCCTGCGAGAAAGAAATTCCCACGAAATGTTACTTACATGCGCGCGTCTCTACCGAAACAGCCGGCGTAGTGGAAGCAGAGGACAAGAACGATCGAGCAGCAATAGATTCTCGGTCCCATGTCTCGTGATCGTTCTCCTGTGGCAAGATTTGGTGCATCACCTCATTCTGTTCGATTACGGATAGCGAGAAAATTCGTAGCCGGCACACACACCACGTTTTGCACCTTCGACGTCGCTGCGTTTAAAGGCGTTGTGTGGTTCCACGGGGGCCGGCGAGATGTCCCGATTATTTTTGGGTACAGGAACGGAGCGCCGTCTCTTAAAACCGACGAACCTACGAAACCTCGGTCCACCGGCGGTTGTGTTTCTTTCACGTGATCCCGTGTATATTTATAAAATTTTCCGGCAACCCCGCCGCTAGACGACGACCCCTCGGCGCTGCTACACGCCCGCCACGTCTGCACCGATGGATCGTCGACGTTCCCCAATTTTATTTTCCCTCGGGAGGGGTTACATAACCTGGAAAAATATGCGAAATATTCTCTAGGTCACGTGAACACGCACTGTGTGGTCTTTGGATGGCCACCTATGGACAGAGTCACCTATTATTTGACGTGAATGTACGTAAATACTTACCATCTCTTTATGCTCTCCATCTTGAGGGTAGGACTGAACGGTTCACAGTGTAATGCGCAGTTGGGTATGAAACATCAATTATCTTTCGGTAGGTTTTAGTGGATAGATTTGATCGGTTCGGCTTCAGACAGGCGTAAGGTGATCGAGCACGAACGGCCTACCCTAACGTTCTTTTGAACTATTAGTATTATTATTATTTTATTATGGCGGGACAGTGGTCCACTACTTCCTTCAAGGCTAACAGATCTAAAAGTACAAAGTAAGTTTACACGTTCAAGTTAAGTCTGGTTATTGAGTATACTGGTCATCGAACAATTTTAGCGACGTTAATTTCTGTAAAAAACAAATAATACCTCGAACATGTCTGCAGCGGTGTACATAAACGGCCAAACGTAGGCATTAATCGGCTGAAACGTATTCCATGTGGTGGCCGATGATACGTCTGAACAGCTTACACCAGTGTCCTGAGTAACCCGAGATCGGTGTAATCGTAGATGAAATGCATACAGGTTTAAATTGCACTCTTCCATGGAATTCACGATAACACAGAAGATATCGAAATATTATATATGTATATACATATATACAGGGTGACTTCGATAAACACGCCAAATACCTCGTCAAAAGTATGGAGAAAGCTTTTGCCCAAGACTCTTCCAAAATGTCTTACTCTTGTTTATTTAAAAATACTAGACTAGAATTAAGGGAAATCAATATCCAAGAATACCCTCGAAGTAACCTTAGAAGGTTACCAAAAAGTATCTAGGGTAGATGTCTCAATTACTGCCACCTTAAGTTTGTAGCATAACTTCATTCAATCATTTTGGAACATAACATTATTTAAAACCTGTTTCATTTAAAAAAAATAGTTTTATACTTTAAAAATGAGGAATTAATATTTACTTCAAATCTGCAAGCAATCCCAGTGTCCCTATGACTGTCACCCCAAAAATTAAAGTAATTACTATATACTTTAATAATTCATTTTGCACAATAGGTTAAATAGTAAAATTACAGGTCTTTCTTCACTATGATTTCGCCATCACCTCCCATTTACGTAGTCACGTTTTTGACGCTCAAATTGCACTTTCACATTTCGACATTAAGCTTTAAATACCAGGCATGTACTAGAACATGTATTTATTCGTTTTTATGTAAGTCAGAGTTCCAATTCTATAAAAAATTGCTTGTACAAAATTCTTTATACGTTACGTTTTTATTAAGTGAAGTAAATAAAGTTGCAGTATTAGGGACACTGGCAGTAATTGGAACATTCACCCTACTCCTAAAACTGGAGATTAAATATCAATTGCGATTTCAGGGACGGCCTCCAATGTCGTGAAATTTAATTTGCTCGAATAAATTTCAACGACTGTCGAAAGGCGGTATGAAATTACAAGACTAAGGAAATATTCGGAGTGCGTCGAGACGTAGAAGATAGGAGGATTCCGCGTTCGATGCAAGAATCCGCCATATTCGAGCCAAGCCTTTGTCGGCAAGGTTGCGTAACGCCGAAAACACGCAACACACGACGGGTGATCCCCTGCGGACGTCTAATGCTCTATTAACGAATCGCCCGGCGGCCCTGGTGGCGTTCAGCAGCCACAAGCACTTAAGGTAGCTAACGCAGATTTTTAATAATTATAAATTTAGTTGAAAATTTGACAGAACATTTCTAAAAACTTCAACTTTCGATTGCTACCAAAAATTCGTAAGGTCAACGATAAAATTATTTAGAAAGCAACGTTATAAAAATGTCTTATCAACACGAGCCTTATGGAATTACATTTAATAAGTAATAATTCTTTTAAGAGAACAAGAGATGAGATTCGATTCTTGATACATGGAAGAATGTTACAGAAAATTGGATGATTTGAATAGTATTTTAGAAGGAACTAGTCGCTCCTTTGTGTCCCGAATAATAGGGTCGCTAATGATCATCTTTTCGTTCTTGTTGGGTACTTAAATATAGTTCAGTAACACAATGTGTACATATTAATACGTATTAGTAAATGTTTGACTAGACTGAGGTCTGTTCATTAACATTAGTGGTGTCAGATAGAGTCCCTTTTTGCGATATATCTTCTCCATTCAGTGTAAATTTTTGCATCTAATTCGTCATTTATTTTGTACGTTAGTAACCTGTCTTCGAAAATATCTTGGAACATGGGCGACCGCGACTGTCCAAAGGAACAGAACAATCTGTGGGAATTTATTCCCCTTTTGAATGCCCTCGCAAGAAATGTGTAACCTTTTTGCGGTTTCATTAACTTCAAGTGTTCCGGTGCCTGCGGAACCAGAAGTTTTACGAGTTATTTTAAAATCGACGAAACAATTCATCGGCTTCGGGGAACTCATCGTGCCCCAAATTCTCTCCGCTTCGCAAATGGCCCTCCTTCCCTAAAAAAAAAATGACCACGCGGAATTGCTCGGCAGCCTTCAGATTCGCCATAAAAGAAACATTTTTCCTCTCGTCCAGCGAACGAAACGTCACAAAGAAACATAACAATGGGACTGCGGATTTTATGCACTTATACTCTGCACAATTACTTGAAATTTCGTCTTGTAGGATTGTAGAATAAAAATCAGCGAGATTTATTACATTACTTGGAAGCTTACAGAATGTTTCGTAACGAGAATAAATTCCTCTTTGACGAATCTTTCAGAATTCTTTCGGAATAATCTGATATTTGCATAAATATTAATAACAGCCTAATAATAACCGACCCAAATGACACGAAAAAAGGATGCACAAAAAAAATATCCGTAAACGTGAATCGTAATAAATGTTATTATGCGGTTCATACAATGAAATGAACCTTGAAACCGCGAAAAAAAAACATGTAAATGGACTTACTCGAGACAGTTACCAAAAAAAATTCAATTCAATGACATATTGCGTTCGGAATTTAACGTGTCTTCGAGAGACAGCTGCGATTTATTTTATTCTCTGAACAAAACGACTACGTTCTATATTCTAAACTGTAGTTTCGTTGAGTCAGGGGAAGATGTTCGCCGAATGATCAAGTTAATATTCAGGTGATGAACGACAGTTAAATATTTGCGAGAATGCAGGATTTCTAGGGACTTTGGGGTCAGCCGACCGGAAGTGTATGCCCCAGCATGAGTAAATATATTCACGAGCTAGTTGTAAACATTTCTAAGAGATCCTAGACTTTCTTCTCTTTTTTTAAACACCTTTAAAAATAGTACCGTTAAATTAATTATAAATATGGGGGAACCAATGTATTAATACTCAAACATCGGATTATTTATTATTACCATTTATTCGGTCTTGCCCTTAATCCTCTACTGATTGTCGGTTATTAAAATTCCAAAGAAATAACTCGAAGCGTAGCTTGGACAAATATCGTTGCCGGTGTTAATGAATGAAGCAACGCGTGACACGTTATGAGTCAATCGCGCTACACGTCCGTTTTTCACGAGGGCGTAGCGGTACCACGTGGTCCCACCGACGAAAACGACAATACTATGCCCCGATTCGTGGCGTGCGTGCGCGCAATTATCGTGCAATAAAAGTAACAGGTCTTCCCTGGACGGTCGGTGAGAGCCCCGTCGTTGAGCTAGATAAAACACGGTATCCGTCCTCATTTTTATTTAAACTGATTATCGCATGGGGTTTCGTGGAACCGAGAACTTCAACCCCTTTTATGTAAATCGCATCGTTTTCAGAGGGGGTGGGAAGATTAAAATCGTGTACAGTTATTGTGTAGAGAGACGAACTGGTACGACTAAGTAATGGTCAATTGGATATCTTGTTTAGAAGATCAATGTTACACTAGAACGTACAATTCTTCTTCTTCTTCTTCTTCTTTTTAGTCTTGTTGATCGTCACTTAAATTCAACGAACAACTTCCTGCGTGAAATTTTACACCTTGGATCATCGGTGGTCGCCGATTTATCTGTCGACGGATGCGCCAATTACGAAGCTTTTACAGATCGGATCTTGTGCTTCGAAACGGAAATAACGACGACTGGTCCACGATGAACTTCCTTTTCTTCTGAATCGTCTTGTCGAAAATAATTGCGTATGTATATTCAGTGTTGTTGGCACGAGGATCATTGGTTGAACGTGAATGCTTATGCAGATTTACGGTTGCGAATCTTTATGATGTACAAAGGATTGAAATGATGTGCTTGCTTCCTCAAATAGAAAATTAAGTTGAAAAATGAAAAGAACGCGAACGATCTTACGTTCGATCCTTTCAAGGGGTCGCCAACGGTTATTCGACGAGCAAAGAAAAATTCATGCAATATTCAGTCTTCAAAAAAATTTCGTTTTCCTTAAAATTCAAATAACCGTTCGACACTAATTCTTCTTTAATCCACGTTTAGTAACATAAGTATTCGACGCATCTAATTTCGTCTGAAATCAGTTCACAGAGAAACCAAAATGGCGCCCATGCGAGCAGGTATCATAAGGATCTCAAGGACCAAAGAAATACACTTCGAATCCCTTAAAAAAAAACACAAATTAAGAATAGTCAACGAAGCCAGAAACAGATAAAAAACGTCTCGAATCAAAACTGCGATTAATCGTCCCAAAGGATCAATGCGATGATATCCTTCACTCGATGGAAAGAAACGATCCAGTGGAAACAATTGGTACAGGCCGCCCATATCTGCCTGGGGAAAAACGTCCGAATTCGCGGGAACAGTCGCGTTTATTGGAACGTGTCGAAAAGGTGTTCGCCGTGGGAGGAGGGGGTAGGAAAGACAGTGGCGGTGGATGTCGGTGGGGAACCAGCTGGTTGCACAGGGATTGATATTGATTCGAAGCACGCGGTGAAGCAGCCGGTGTTGCCGGGCAGTCACGGGCCAGGCTCACGTCGAACAGGAGGCCAGGCCACCTCAAATGCCTCCCGAGTGCGAGGAAATCGAGGGCCGCGAAGCGCCGGAGAAAATATCCTGCCTCGACGGACGGATCAAGGATCATCTGCGGTTCGCGACCAACGCCACGCTATGCGGTGTGTGTCTGTGTTTGTGCGTAAACGTTATCATTCGATCCTTAAGGGGGTATTCCACTGTGGACACCCGTTTTCAATGTGGCATTGGGGATTTCATGTTGTTTTTTCTGTAAAGAAAAATACAACACCTTTTGCAATCAACCCTTTAGGGTATATTTATAGGTACTTCGAAAAGATTTCTAATGTTTTACGTCGGGACGAAAATAAAAATTGGAGACGTTCCACGCCTTCGTACGCAATCGCTTGTGAAAAAAAATGGTGTTTGTGATTCTGATCAGTCTGCCTATCTATGTGAAAGAAAAAGGAAACTAAGAAGATTGTTAGTTGGATAAGTTGGACAGGTGGTACCGAGAATGAACAAAAATGGCGACACTTTGAAATTTGACTATCAATTTTTTAGTTTTTAACTAAAAAAAAAGAATTGAAAAAAGAAAGACTTTGAATTGATTCTGGTACCCCTTTGCCTCATTAAGAATTTTCTTGACTTTTTTGTTTATACACAAGCGATTGTGTACGAAGGCGTGCAGTGTCACCAATTTTAATTAAAAATAAAAAATTATAAATGTTCTTGAAATATGTATAAATATACCCTGAAACGTTGACTGGAAACAGTGCTATAGTTTCTTTGTAAAAAAATCCCAAATATCACATTGGAAACGAACATCTACGATAGAAATACTCATCTTAATCTTCTGTCATGCTTTTCGTGTGTTTGTTGTTGTTCTCCGTCCGGTTTCTAGTTACGATTGCTGGTGTCGAGTACCACATGGTGTTGTCGTGCGTGCCCTTTGAACGATGTCCCACGGGATACAATTGCTCGAAGAATTAGAGGATCGCCCATGTGGGCGGTCCTGTTGCGTCTGCTTAGCGATAGAAACCGAGGCTAGTGCTATAGATTCGCTAAATTAATATCTACTAACATTGTTGACACTTCCAGTGAGTTAAAAAACCTCAGTCCGGAGTTCGACCTGAATCCTCGATTCTTCAAAACACCTCCACTTGAAACCCCTTGTTTATTACTATATTTTTTTTTCTTCAATCTCAACCATTCCACAATACTTCTACAATGTTTCTTTTGTAAAGTCCATAATTGACAGGAGATATTTCGAGTTTCAAATCACTTGGGCTCACTTGTCCGCCTCATGTGCACTTGTAAAAACTTTTAGGATGTACGCAATACGAAGTATTACATCCAGTTGTTTGTATGAAAAATTTTTCAAAGACTATGATCATGATCGTCTGATTGTTTTGAGCAGTGTATCCTTCAAGACTGGAGAGAAGATTTTGGTGACTCGACATGGAATTTCTTGTAGAGTGGAATGAAAACAAGCACATGAGAGTATCGTTCTTTTTGCTTCTTTCGAGTATTTGCGTAACATTGTTACGAAATTGTAGATCTTCATGTCTAAAGCATTCTAAATAGCGTTGTATTTCGTAATTAGGATTGCAACGCTTGTGAGAGATCCTTTCACGTCCGTTCCCCAATTGAAACATTTTTCTCTTTTTTTTACCTCTGCGAATGAGGTATTCCTCAATCCTTTCTTTTCTTCAGTTATGCGTTTGATCTCTCTCAGTGTCTGTGGATAATCATCTTCAATTTATAATACTCTTTTGAAACTTTTTTCTTTCGACCTCTGCAGATGACGTATTCCTCGATCCTTTTTTCTTCGGTTATGCGTTTGATCTCCCTTGGTCTCTGTGGATAATCATCTTCATTTTATAATACACTTGGATCATCTGTCAACAATTATTTCGTAAAATATATTTGTAGACGCCAGAATTTCGTAACAGCCTCGATTCATCGGTCTTCGTGCGAACAGTGGAAAGAAAAGAAATGTTGAGCTACTTGAACGTGCGTTGTTGTTCACTTAACATATTTACTTTTTTCCCCAGTTGTTACAGTTACTCCGAATACTTGGAAATCTTCCGTGAGCTTAACGGATGAGGACACTATGCGCAAAAAAAAGGCGAATTCCTTCGACAGCAAAAAGGTGCACAGTACACAGAATTGGTAATAGTCCGTGGTAAATACTAGTTCAGGCGTTTTTTGGTGTTTACCCGATGAGGTGGTTCGTTGTCCCGTCGTTGTCGAGAGTTTTCCTCACTAAAATCGACCAATAATGATGTTACAAACGAATACGTTAAATATTTGACGTTCCATAGCTAATTAATATCATTTCATAAATTCGAAACAATGTTTAAACTTCTATTCCAAATATTTACTTTTGTGCCCCGTGGATACAATTTCGACCTCGATTAGTGAAACTTCTACGCTCTCGAGTACACGCTCAGTTTTGATCGATCGAGTCTTCGGTGAATTAGCCCAACGCCATTTAATCCTGCTATTGATCCGTCGTATTTCCTAATAACTAGATAACAAAGGGTATACGAAACCATCCATTCGATAACATCTGTTCGTGTGAAACGAAAATTCATACTTGTCGTATGTACCTTATACAATTCGTAGAACTCTGCTCCTCGGCATTAGCGATTTAACAGAAGGAATCGAAAATTTACGGTACTCGGTAGACTTACTTATGTTGGATATGATGGAGGAGAGAAGGACTTAAAGCCTAAGTGAACTTAAGGTAGAGACTGGTCGGCCTGTTCCTCGAGGGCTGTTTAAATGGACAGTCCCGTCGGAAAGGGTGGGCGGTTGATGGAGGGAAAAAGGGGGTAACGAACGGATCGAATTGATTTCATGTCACGACATAGGGTTTTGACCAGAACGGCCAGGGAACTGGTCAGAGACGGATCAGGCGAGCTATCGTGCCGATAGGCCGATCGTGCGTTGTGCCGCCATCAAGGATTTCGGTCGCGATCGAGAAGTTCTTCATTGATCGTGTCGCAGCCCAGCGGTCCCCTTCTACGCATTGTTGAACAGAAAGAAACACGGTTTGTAATTTCACATCTTTTCCAAATCCTGCGTGGATTTACCCTTATTCCATTTGGACGATTAAGCTGCGTGTTTGAACTTCGATATTTTCCTCAAGTTTTCGAATGTCTTAACACGTTCCGAAAAATGGCGGGAGACCATTAGGTTGCATATAGTACAGTTTCGATTCTTGTAGTACAGGTGCACAGTGGAGGTGTCGGTCGTACTTAGAATTGATAAGAGCCATCGGAAAGGTATACGGTATTTGATAAGGAACCTCTGGTAGTGGGGTATCCATGAAGTCAGTTGTCATCGTCGGCTAGTCGACGCAAAATTCTGACGAATATCGAACTTGACTTCTCACCGCGACACTAGCTTTCCTTTGACCTCTTGTGATCAGTATTCTTCCGCGCGAAAGATTCGTAAGTAACTTAATAATACAATAATAAAGGATCTTTTAGAGAAAGCAATCTATACGCTTGTTGGATTTAACAAGAGTTTGATCTATTATTGCAAACAGGATCCACGTGGATGTCACGGGACAGACTCTGACATGAACAAATTTTTCAAATGCGAGAAGAACAGAATTTAATAAATGGAATTCGATAGTATAGTATAATATAGTGTAATGTAGAATATATAATGAATTAAAGGTCGACATGAGTATCAACAAAAGCACTATTCTGATTTCAGTAATTGTAAACAGCAAAATATCGGTAATGACAGATTATAATAAATTAACGGGATAATTCGTATTGGTAGATTGACCCCATTCTGTGGCGCCCTTTACGCACATATTAATGAACGCTCCCGCGGGTATAAATCCCCGATGGTTTCGCACGTAATTCGTTCTTCGAAATGAAATTTGCCCATCTCTTTTGCCCCCGTTGGCCAACGGGGTTAATTAACTTAAACTAGCCTCCATCTGCGCCGCCGATGCCCTCGGGGGGAATGCTATTAAAGACTTCACACGGCCGTTCCACCTCGATCGTATCGATCACGCCTCGAACAACTTGGCTACGATCCTATTCTTTCGGTTTTCGTTAAAAATCTGGATAACAGTGCACAATATCCTTTCATAGTTCGTGAAACAAAAAATATATATACAAACACACACAAGTTTTTATCAATAATCTTGTAGATTCTTCGATTATTGCAAAACATATGCAATTACAACATTGTGTTGTCAATTGTAGCAAGATAACGTATTTCTTATCGCTGTATTTTTTTTTTTGATCACGCAAGTACATAGTATGTATTTCTCT